AAGAAAGAGGTGATGTGGCAATGTGGCAAAGAAAGGACGATCTTTTTAATAAATGGTGCTGTGTCAGTTAGATTCCTATTTGGGGAAAAACATATCTCCACCCATCTCTTATCATATACCAAACTCAATTCCACATGTATTTTAGGGTTAATTAAGTAAAAAAATAATAGGGCTTTTAGAAAAAAGTGGAGAGTACCTTTATGATATTTAGGACACAAAAGGTGCTAAATGTGAAATATCAAAAGATAGCACTAACGTAATGAAAGTGGTCACGGAGTGGAAGAAGGTGTTTGTAAGTACCTATATCTAACAAGAGACTGATATCTGGAATATATTAATAGTCCTCCAATACATTAACAGTTCTCCAAATCAGTAAGAAAAAGGCAGCTCAAAAAGAAAAAAAAAAGGCAGAACATTTTAATAGGCACTTGTAAAAGAACACATTGAAATGGCAGTAAGTGTATGCAAAGGTGATCAACTTTCATAGGTATCAGGGAAGTTGAAACCCTTCTGAGATACTACTACACACATATGTACACACACACACACACACCAAAATGGCTAAGATGAAAGACAGCTAGTACTAAGTTGGTAATTAGCAAATGGTTCTTTCATACACTGCTGGTGGGTGTACAACCACTTGGGAAAACCATTTGGTAGTAGCTACTAAAAGTAATTATGTTTATACCCTATGATAGAGCAGTTACACTCCTAAGTGCATACCCAACAGTAAATGCAGGCATATTTTGCCATAAAGGTGTGTACATATGTGTGTATATTCAAGGTGTGTGGGTTTGTGTGTATATGTATATGTATATATATGTATATATATGTGTGTGTGTGTGTGTGTGTGTGTGTATATATATATATATATATATATATATAAATGAATATGAATAGTATGCTATTCATAATATACCCAAACAACCCAAATGAGTCTCAAACAAAAAGGATAGGTTGTGGTTATTCTCTCACACATGATAATGCAATAAGAACAAGTGATCTATAGCTATATGCAATATTATGGATGAATTTCACTCCAAAATATTGATGAAAGAAGCCATAATCAAAGAGGTCATACTCTGTAGTTTCATTTATATAAAGTTACAAATCACACGAAACTGAACAGGGGCAGTGATGCGGGGGGGGTGGGGGGGGACATAGTATATGTTATTTTATGTGTATATGTTATTTATCCCCCAAAAATTGTGTTGAGATCTACCCATGAAGGAGCTTAGTGATTGTTTATTCATTTCAGCTGTGTTACGAATGACCATAGTTTGTATATTGATTCCCTTATTGGACTTGTAGCTTGTTTTCATTTTTTTGTTCTGTTTCAAAATAATTCTGTAGTCAAGGTGTTCTGTTTCATTATTTGGTGGAATGGGGGATTGAACTCAAGGCTTAGTGCATGTTAAGTGCATGCTCTACCATTGACTGTGCACTCCAGTGTTTCTTTTCTTTTTTTAAATATTTTTAGCAGTAGATGGACATAATAACTTTATTTTTATGTGGTAATGAGGATTGAACCCAGTGCCTCATACATGCTAGGCAAACACTCTACCACTAAGCCACAACCCTGTCCTGCAATATTCTTTTTTATGACTTTTTTTTGTGTGTGTGAAAATGAGTTTCTCTGGGAAATTTACCTGTGGCAAGGTATGCTTATGTTCAGCTCTATTTGATGATTTCAAATAGTCCTTTAAATGATTGTATATGTACAGGCCCACCAGGAGTGTTGAATTGTTTTCATTATTCTATAGTTTACCATCACTTGGAGTTTTCAAAATTTTAAAATTTTGTTCATCTTATGGTATCAAATGCTGTTTATAATTTACATTACCTGATGACCAGTATAGTTGAGTATCTTTCCATGTTATAGCCCATATGAATTTCCTCTGTGTTCTTAAAATTTTCACCTTTAGGAAGTATCTATTCATTTTTATTGCACATTTTTCTAATGATTAATTTTATTCTTTTTGATTTATATGCAGTTGTCTTTGATTAGCAGTCCATATGTTCATGAAGGCTCTTCCACTTTGTGATTTTAAGCTGTTAGAATTTCAGCTAAAATTTTTAGATTTAGAGTAATTCCAGCTTCTGAAGAATATTTTTCCTTCAGATTTACATATTTTTTTCAGTTCCTGTTTGCCTGCCATTACTCCATCCTATTTTACCAATATGTTCTCTAACTCCAACCATCTTTTGGTAGTAAGAGATTGGTGATGCTATGAGTTAGGGGAGAAGATAATAGAAAAAATATTTGACAAGTATAAAATTAAAATAGCTATGTGTAAAAAGAAAGTATTCTTGTGACCCTGGTTGGCTTTTCTTTTTACTTGAAATACATTCTAGATTTAGCACTATACAGCCAAAGGCTAATTAATTACTTCATTGAATATTGTTGTCCAAATGATTGTATATTTATAGGCCCACCAGGAGTGGCAGATCCACATCACTTCATGATTAATTGTGTATATGTGGTCTGTGCAGTGCCTCTTATTTTCTGGATTCTCCAGTTTCGTGTATCCATTATTTCCGCATAGCAACTACATTAACAATTGAAAGCCTCTTTAGCTAGTGCCACTGGATTTCTTTGTTTCTGTGACCTTAGAAAATGACCACACACTTAGTAGCTGTGTTTCCCAAATTCAAAGGTGGTTGGTCTGGAGTAAACGGTGATAACTTAAGCAGTGCTTTCTCTTTGTCTTCTGAGAAGGTTCAGTGAAAAGGGTCTGGAGTTCTGAGCTGTGTCACAAAGTCTTTTGAGGTTGGGGAACCTTCCTCAAAGAACATCCTGGTCCATTTTTCTTCCTTGTTGCCTCTAACTTCTGACTCAAATAGGGCCAATGCCAGAGGAAGAGCACATGATTCTTTTACATGGTCACAGAATCTTGGCTGATCTTGATAAAGGAGTCTTGTAGCATATTCTCTTGGCATGAGTCTTTGGGAGAGAGGTGCCAGCACAGCCCAGCTTCACTAGCAACCTCTTTCTAGAATCAGATTTTTTAAGGGTTTGATGTAAGTTAGTGAAGAAATTTGACTCTTAAATCAGTGTAGAATGTCTAAAACCCCCAATTTATTAAGGTCAGAAATCTATGTAATTTAAGAAGGATGTAAAGAAAGAGTTTTTGTCTTGTTTTATTAATAAATTGGTACAAGCTCTGGCTATTACTTTGGAAGTAATAATTTAAAAGTATGTTCTATTAAAAAAATTCTCCAATATATTTAGAAAGTAAGTGTATTGATTCTGGATTTGATTTTTTTAAAGTATATCTTATGATAAGGATTTTCATTTTCCTAAGCACAATTAGCACACTTAAAATTATTAATGATTCCAACAACATATACATTTTTAATCTTTGCTTTTTTGTCCCCTCCCCTGTAACAGTTTTAACCCTCCCTACTCCATACCTTTGGCTTTTTCATGCTATTGATTGTTTGGAGAAATCAGGTGTTTTGTCCTAGAATGTTTTATACATTCTGGATTTGACTTTGTGTTGTAGTGGTGATTAACTTGATCCTGTATTACCCAAATTCACTGTAAAACTGGTGTTTAGATCTAAGAGCTTGCTTTGACTCCAACTTTCTTTCCCTTTTGCTTTTCCCTCACTTTCCTTTTGTTTTCTTCTCCTTCCCTCTCTCCCTTTCATTTTTCCTTCCCTAAGAACTTTATATTATGAAATTTTTATTACATCACATGAAAAATATACTGTCTGGATACTAAGATTGATGTAAGAATCTTGTTGGTATACTTTCTCTGTTGGTATAAAGGTGCCCATTAGAATCATTTTATGTCTGGTGAGAGTGGGGGAAAAATATCTATTAAAAAACATAGAAAAATAAGTTTATGTGGGGGTAGGAAGGATGATAGTAGACTGAATCAGACATTATTACCCTATGTACATATATAACAATACGACCGGTGTGATTCTATATCATGTACAACCAGAAAAATGAGAAATTTTATTCCCATTATTTATGATGTATCAAAGTGCATTCTAATGTCATGTGTAACTAGTTAAAATAAAAAATTGAAAAAAATAGGAAAACCCTCAAATCCTTCTATATTTACTTAGATATATTTAATACCTTTAATATGTAATTGTGAAAAAATTTACTTTTATGCAAATGCTTTGGGGTGAGGATCTCCTGTATAAAATAAAGCGTATGTAAAATTGTTAAGAACTGTAGAGGGCTAGGGCAATAGCTCAATGGTAGAGTGCTTTCCTAGCATGTGTGAGGCACTGGGGTTGATCCTCAGCACCACATAAAAATAAATAAAATAATAATATTTAAAATTAAAAATATATATATTTAAAAGATATTGGGCTGGGGATGTGGCTCAAGCGGTAGTGTGCTCGCCTGGCATGCGTGCGGCCCGGGTTCGATCCTCAGCACCACATACAAAGATGTTGTGTCCACCGATAACTAAAAAATAAATATTAAAAAATTCTCTCTCTCTCTCTCTCTTAAAAAAATTATTTATATATTATATATATATATTTAAAAGATACTGACTTTTAAAAAAAGATTCTACTTCTGAAAAAAAGAAAAAGAACTGTAGAGATGTTTGAGGCTGTTGTGGTATAACAGAAAAAATACTCACATGGACCTGGGAGGTTATGTCACCCCCTCCTTCTCCCCACCCCGCATCTCCCGTCTCACACACACAAATAATATTTATCATTGGATTGTTTTTAATGATTAAAGATTTATTTGGAAGCAGTTTAGACCCTGGTAGTTAGTTGCATTTAATCTGAAGTGTATTACAGTATTACAGAATCTGTTTTTTCAATTTGGGTCTTCAGAGTGAAGTCTAACAATATCATGCAATATATTGGGTATATCTGAATAAGTTTTTACTTTTAAGCTTGTTTTTGGAATGATAAGAGATTCAGTGGAGTTTTAATATAACATGGCTTTTTATTAAAAAGGCTTTAAAAAAAAATACTGTGTGGAAGTCTTAACTGATTTCTTCCCCCCTCCATTATTTTCAGCTCCACTTACCTCTTAATTCCCCTTTGCCTGGAAGTGAACTGACCAAGGAACCTTTTCGTTGGGATCAGAGACTGTTTGCATTAGTGTTGCGGTTGCCTGGCACCATGTCAGTAGAATCAGAGCAGTTGACAGGTGTGCCTTTGGATGACTCTGCAATCACACCAATGTGTGAAGTGACAGGCGGTAAGTTTTTTGCTGGTACTAATTCAGTGACTTAAAGCAGTGTTTATCTGAAGAGTTAAAATGTAGGTTTTAAAAATTCCATGTTTGTTTTTGTTTAACAAGTTAAATATTAGGAATTAATACACGTATGGTTTTAAATTGCAATTATTAATGATGGTCTGTGATCTTGATTTGAATACTTGTGGTTACTGTTGGTCTCATAATGAATGGTAATTTTTTTATCCATATAGAAAATTCTGATATTTGATGTTCTTAAATTTTCCTACCTACAAAAATTGTCAATGATTTTGAAATGATAAAGCATTATTTTCTGTGAACTATGTTTTTAGAAGCATTTCATTACCCATTTGATGGGATATGCCTGGTTAAGTGATGTTTTTCTCAGAGGTAAGGAGATTAGATAGGTTAAAGGAAATGGGCAAGAGGTTTTATCCAGCTTTTTTATCACTTATTCATCAAGTCAAGTAGCCACCATGTTTACTGCACATAAATTAGGATCTTATATAACAGTCACAGGTGTTCTACAATGTGAAATTGGTTAACAAGTGGATTAATTTCATATAGATATATATCAAATGCCTACTGTGCGCCAGCTATTGTTCCATGGTTCAGAGCTGCAGTAATTTATTTTTTTATTTTTATTTTTTTATGTGGTGCCCGGGATTGAACCCAAGTACCTCATGCATGCTAGGCAAGTGTTCTACCACTGAGCCACAACCCCGGCCCAGCAGAGCTAAAGTAATGAATAAGAAATACATGGGGTTTTTGTTTTCAGGGAACATTGTAGTTCTCACCTAAGAAATTTGATACTAAAATTTGAACTATGAGAGGGACCTCCAACAAAGTCTTTAGACACAATTAGTGCTCTACTGAGAGATTAGCTAAGTAAGTTCAGAGAAAATACAAGTTCTAATTAATATTTTAAATGTCTTTGTTCTAAAATTCTATGGATTTCATAAATCTGCAAATTTCTCAGGCAAAAACGATTAGCCGCATACACACAGACACACACACGCACAGCCCTACACATACATAGAAGTGGATGAGATAATTGTTATTCATACTGTTAATGCTCCCATTTTATAGAATACTCTGAACTGTTGTAATGCCTTCACAGTTTACAGAATTTTTAAAAATGTATGTGTGTATTTTTTTGAGGGACAGCTTGTCATCTAAATTTTACAAATTCACTGATAGCAATTTCCTATACATGTATAACATTGTTCAGTGATAGAGTCTCTATGGTTTCTTTGGAGATCTACATTTGTATTCATGAAATTTTAGTTTTCAGCTATGAACTGACCTACTTGTTAAAATCCACCCCCCCCCCTTTTTTAAACTCTAAGGTTTTTATTTAACAGATTGCAAAGGGCTTTAAGGATATAATTTAGACATTCTCAGGTTGGAAATTTCTTACTATGAATTACTTAGTTTGAACTTAGAATTATGATGAAGTTATGGCACTGTATGTACTATAACTTTTTTCTTCAATGATCAAGAATATTCAGAGTGTGAAATCAAGTGAGTGGTACAGTCAGAAAGGGTCTGAAAAGAACCTTGAGAATCATGTAGTAGTTGATATCCTTGCCTTTGGGCAGTAATGTACTAAAGTTATTTTGTTTATTCTTTGAAAGGAACATCTCCAGAGGAGAAGATTCCGAAGTCACCCTTGGTAATATCTTTCAATGACCCAAAATTTTAGTCAAGAAATTTGGAAGTTTTCCCTAAATATACTTCCTGGATCCTTCCTCATGTGTTTGTTCATTTGCCCCTTTTCATGCTCTTGCAAGCAGTAATGGGAAACTGCACAAATGCCACTCACCTTTTCATATATCTGAATAATGTTTATCTTTCTTTTTTAATTTAAAAGAAAGAATGTTCACTAAAGAGAGGTTTGGAGAGAATGCCACCAGAAAAGTAGTAACAACAAAAAAGTGAATATCCATTGGTATTTTACTATACAAATATGTGAACAATACTAACAATTCCTGTGTTGTTTTTTTTTTTTTAACTTAGTGCGAGGAAGGTTGTATTAGTGCGTGAGCATTAATATTTCCCATTAAAGAATAATCCATGTTTATTAAGGAAAAATTAGAAAAATTCACCTATATTGCCAAAATAATTAGTATGTTATTATATTTTTGTTTATGCTTTTAAAAATATGCAATTGTCATTGTATGCATTGTTCTTGTATTATCAGGTAATTTCATGAGTGCTTACTTTGTGCCTAATAAGTGTTCTAGATGCTGGAAATACATTAAGAACAATAGACAGAAAACTTATATCTTTGGACTGGGTTATAACAGATAATAATCATGTCAAATGAATAAATCGCATTTTGGGGGGTGCCGCCTACTATGAAGAGGAAAAATTAAGGATTTGGGTGTAGAGAGCAACTTGAGACTGAGAATGAGTATTCTTTTTTTTTATATTTATTTTTTAGTTTTAAGTAGACACAATATCTTTATTTTGCATATATGTGGTGCTGAGGATCAAACTCAGTGCCTCAAGCATGCTAGGCGAGTGCTCTACCCCTGAGCCACAACCCTAGCCCCAAGAGAATGAGTATTCTTAGGTAGTTAGGAAGTGACATTTGAGCAGAGCTTTGAAAGATTCAGTTAAACCTCAGGGAAATCTATAAAGAGGAAGTAGTAAGGGAAGAGATGTGCTGTGTGTAAGTAGGAGTAATGGGAAGGCTGATGTGGCCAAAACATATATAGAAGTAGAGAATAATATCTAGGTTTAGAGAGAAGCAGTGTGTTAGTCAACTTTTTATCACTGTGACCAAAATACCTGCCAGGACAAATTAAAGGAGTAAAGGTTTATTTTGGCTCATGGTTTCAGAGGTTCAGTCTATAGTGAGCCAACTCCATTGCTCTGAGCCCAAGATGAGGCAGGCCTCATGGTAGGAGGGCATGATAGAGGAGTGCTGCTCCATTCATATTCTCCAGGAAGCAGAGTGGGAGGGAGGAAGGGAATGGGGTGTTGGGGAGAGAAGGAAAAGGGGCCACAAGGAAGATGAACTCTTCCAGGGTGACCCACCTGCCTATAGATTCTACCTGTCAGCCCATGCAAATAGGATAGACCTATTAGGTCACAGCTCTCAATCTAATCATTTTACCTCTGAACATTTCTGCATTAACACAGAGGCTTTGTGGGAGGAGGAGGACCTCATATACAAACTGTAACAGGCAGGGACAAAATATTGAATTGCCTTTTAGGTCATAATAAAATATTTTTTATTTTCCTAGTGTGATGGGAAGCCATTAGAGGGAAGCAGACCTTTCTATTTCTGATACATTACTTCAGCTTTTAGATGAGAATGCACCGTAGAGTGGCAAGAATGGAAACAGGGAGACAAGAGGTGACTACTTTAATTGAGTGCTAGACTTAGAGGTGGTAAGAAGTAGACAGATGCAAATAAGGATGAGAACAAGGGAAGAAGGAATCAAGAATTGATTCCCAGATGATTCAGTTGGCTTGAACAACTAGAGATGAATGACTATGCCATAAATTTAGATGAGTACACTGGGGAGAGGCAGGGGTTTTAGAGATACCCAGAATAAATTTCTTTTTTTTTTTTTATGTTATAATTTTTATTATTCCAACAATCTTTTTTTTTTTAAATTTTTTATTGTGGGTTGTTCAAAACATTACAAATTTCTTGACATATCATATTCCACACTTTGATTCAAGTGGGTTATGAACTCCCACCTTCACCCCATACACAGATTGCAGAATCATATCAGTTACACATCCATTGATTTACAAATTGCCATACTTGTGTCTGTTGTGCTCCGCTGCCTTTCCCATCCTCCACCCTCCCCCCTCCCCACCTCTCCCCTCCCCTCCCCTCCTCTCTCTCTACCTCCTCCACTGTATAACCCTGAGGGTCTCCTTCCATTACCATGCAATTTCCCTTCTCTCTCCCTTTCCCTCCCACCTCTCATCCCTGTTAAATGTTAATCTTCTTCTCCTGCTCTTCGTCCCTACTCTGTTCTTAGTTACTCTCCAGAATAAATTTCTAATACTTGTATTACAATACCCTGGTTTGAATTTTGGCTGTATCACTGTACTAACTTGAATAAGTGGTCTGTTTTCTCATTTGTAAGATGGAGAAATAGCCCATAGAGTTGTTGCTAGGAATAAATAAATTACATGACAAAACAATTAAGACAGGGGCTAGGGATGTGGCTCGCGCAGAGGCACTGGGTTCGATCCTCAGCACCGCATAAAAATAAAATAAAGATGTTGTGTCCACCGAAAACTAAAAAAAATATAAATATTAAAAAAAAAATCTCTCTCTTTAAAAAAAAAAACAAGACAGTGCTAGACACATTCAGGTTCAGTAATTGGTAGGTATTTTTTGATTACATTTATTATATACAGGTGAATTGTTTGTGATATACTACTTATTTTCCAAGTAAAGGTAACTTTGAGGATTTGAGTCACTACTACCTAATGTTTTCTTAGCAACCTTTACAAATCACATTAAAAAATAAGTTAATATTGGTACTTTGATGTGTCAAATATATGTAGCTTATGTTCTGAAATTATTGATAAGACTGCATGTCAAGCTTATTACAAATAACATTGTAAGGTAGTAGGTTGAAGATTTTTAGCTATCAAGGTTTTTAGTGTTGGTCTGGATCAGCATTGTATAACAAATATAATTCAGTTTTCATATGTTGTTATAAATTTCATAGTAGCCACACTAAAGATAAAAGTAGCAGGTGAAATTGTTAATGATATTTTGTTTAAATCAGTATATCCCAAATATTATTTCAACATGAAATTTACATTTTTCACACCAGGTCTACAAAATCAGTGTATAGTTTATACTTACTGTACAAGTCATTTTGGACTAGCCATATTTCAAGTTTAAATAGCCACATCTAGCTCTTGTCCACAATATCAAACTGCAAAGATCTAGATATTTGTGCTGAAAATCTGTTTAAATTATTCCCACTAGTATATTTTGGGGAAAGGTTGGGGGTTTTTGACCATTCTGGGGAGCAAACCCAGGGCCTTATACATACTAGTCCAGCGTGTGCCATTGAGTCATATCCCCAGCTCTAAATTATTATTGTTGTTTTTTTTTAATTGCTAGCATTTTAGTGCTTTTTGTAGATTAAAATGTTCAAAAGGGGAATTAATTTAAGATTGGTAATGTTAAAGTATATAAGCCAAATGAAGTTCAGAAATGTACATGCTACCATTTATATATTAAAGTGCAATATTTAAAATATATAGTAACTGCCAGTAGACGAGATAAGCAGTTATTTAGAATCTTCCATGTACTTTGCATCAGTCTTAGGGATAAATCTTTGTTAATGGGAATAATATTTGGGGGGAATTTTTACTACTAGATGTTATTTGTGTATATGTATACTGAAGACCAATTATATTGGATAATAATTGGAGATAGTGCTCATAGAGAGGATGCATAGTTCCCCAACCACCACACTGTGGTTTGTTGAGACCAAGATTTTATATTTAATCTACCTATAATTAGAAGGAAAAAAAAAACTATGTATTCTCATAACATGGGATTTTGGGGAGGTTGGAAGTAATAATTTTTGTTCATTCTTCCTTAAGATTATGAAATAAGTCAACTTTACCATTGAATTTTTTGTTAGCATTATCAGAAACCTCACTCACCATAGTTCTCGCTAAAGGCAGGAATTCTTACAACTAGTCTACCTAATTTATTTTTATTATTTTTTTTAATCTCAGGCCGCTCATACTCTGTATGTTCTCCAAGAATGCTTAATCAATGTCTGGAGTCCTTGGTGCAGAAAGTACAAAGTGGGGTGGTAATAAACTTTGAAAAAGCAGGACCAGATCCTTCCCCTGTAGAAGGTATGATTGCACTTTTCTTATAGACATTCTAAACTTGCTTTATCAATTATTGGAAGAGAAAAATTGCTGTGTATTGGCCTTAAGATTAATAAGGCCAAGTATTGAGAAGATAGAAGGGAATATGAAATAGGAAAGTCAAGGTAAACTGAGGGGTGGTTCAGTAGATTACCTTTTTATATTAATTATTGTTTATAGCCTTTAATTTTAGTAAGAGTCAAACACCTTTTTAATAAGCAAATTCTAGTTTTGCTTTTTAATATTATTATATCATTGTTTCTTTCTATTTGTTTTTAGCATGTTCCTTAATTATCAGAGTGTTCAACTATCGATATTTAATTCCTACTATTGTTCGAAGGGTTAAGTTGATCAGAACCTAATGGTTTCTGTGGGTCCAAAAATGAAGAACCAGCCTTTGCCATTAAGCTTGATTCTTTTAACTCAGCCCCTCTTGGCTATATTCTTAGCTTCTGTGATTGTGAACTATTTGCAATAGTCAGTAGGTCAAAGAACCATTTGGATATTTTATATCTGAAACCTTATGTATTGTATGAAACTTCAAGAATTAGAAAGACATTAATGACACTTGATAGAGGTGATGCACTGGAGTGATCATGGAAGAAGAGAAAGGTCAGAGATGAAAGATTGTAGGTATATGACTTAAGTTATATGATTGTGTCTGGTTTTAATTAAATTTAAATTAAATTGTTAGAATATATTCATTTTAAAATTATTTTAATACTTGGCTTAGGCAACTAAGTAAATGTTTACTGTATTGTTGAAGAGAATTATTAAAATTTTGCTAGAATTATTCTAGATTAAAGACAGTTGATTTGAATTTAAGTTTGCATATTATTAGGCTTTAGTTTAAAATGATTTATAAGGAATATTCAACTAGCAATACTTAAACAATATTTTCTGTGTGCCTAGCACTTGTTTTGACACTGTTTTGGGACTCTAAATGAAGGTGGCAAATTAGTTGCTTGGTGGTGAAATGGCTTCATTCATTAAACAGATGAGTTTCATAAAGTATTGTTCTGATGGACAAGCAGAGGATGCTATGGGACCTTCTTTCAACTGATGAACTCGTATTTGGAATTTACAGATTTTATGTCTAGTGAATTGCAATCTAATTTAAATGTTAAGCAGTCATCCTATTCTGCCATATTAAAAAAAAAAAGGGAAATCCAGAAATGAACGAATTTTAGGATATTTTACAGTTAAGTAATAATGAATAATTTAATTTTTCGGTTTTTTTTTCCCTCTAATGATATATGCTTTCTTTGTCTTAACATCTCTGGTACAGACGGGCAGCCGGATATATCAAGGCCTTTTGGATCTCAGCCTTGGCATAGCTGTCACAAACTCATATATGTCAGACCAAATCCTAAAACTGGGGTTCCTATAGGTCATTGGCCTGTTCCAGAATCTTTTTGGCCAGATCAGAATTCTCCAACACTAGTAAGTACCAGAGAGATGACTATATCCACCTTTTGTATTATTTCTAAGTATTATTGTCAGTTAAAGGTGTGGCTCATTTGTTAGACAGATGTTCAAAGTGCCATCATATGCTGTAGTATATTGTATTGTTCATAACGAACCAGTAAGAAAAAAAGGCATCTGTTCCCTTTAGAATCTAATACTGTGCTTATATTTTGTTATTGGCATCTGGATACAGAGTCATAAATGCAATAAGATTTCCTTTTTGGACTCTAAACATAATGTAGCATGTGGATTTGTCTCTGGGACGCAATTTGAAATTTAAATGAAGGCTTAGGAAATTGTTCTAACAGTTTGCCTGCAATCTTTCAGGTCTTAGTCAGAAATTGATGTTGACTTGTCTGATTTTAGTTATGTTCAGTGTTGCAACTTAGAAATTTAAGTTAGAAATGATTTTCTCGTCTTGTTTGTATAAATTATTTTTAGGAACAGTGAAGTTTATTCAGTGATTATGGTGAATTATCAGTATTCATTATATGTTTCTGATAATATGTTATATTTTATTAATTATTTTTGGTCTTCTTGGTGCATTTTGTTTTATCTTAGGTTTTTGTTTTTTTCTTTACTTTCGTTTTTTTCTAATATCTGAGGACGCCAAGGGATATTCTATTGGGAGAACATGACAGAGTTGTTTTTTTTTTTTTAATTTTACTTGGAAGATAAGAGTTATATTTCAAAAAGCATTAAACAGCCTTTAAAAATTTTCCATGCAACTATTATTTATGAATTAAGCAGAACCCTTTTGAAACCTTTTGTACCTTAAATCTTATATCAGTTACACAAAATTTGTAAACTTAGGTCCATTAGGTGTTTATTCATTAGGGATTTAATGAAGTACAACAAGAAATTAAGGTCTTAGAAATTTCATTGAGGCATTTTGGTTTATTTTCTTTTTTTAAATTGAACCATTGTAGTCTGGTTTTAGAGTGGCCTTATAGAGAAGCTTTTCAGTTTCTTTGGTAGTTTTCCTTTCTTTTCTGACCCATTTTAACTCTTACCATCCGTATTTGTAAGAAATGCTATTTTGTTATATCTTTTATTATATTTAATACCTTCAGCAGTACATATGGTACTTGGCAGACCTTAATGAAAAGAAATTCAAATCCTTACTTATTAATATTGCTCTGGTGGTTTATTGCAAATTGTTAAAAGCCATAGAAAGTAAGTAGGATTTCAGTTGGACATAGAAATACTATGAGAAAAAAGTATGGAAGTAAAAAAGAATGTAGTATATTTAGAGGAGTAACAAGTAGCTGGGCATGTCCTACATGTGTAGGAAATTGAGAATGCTATTAGCTAAATTGCTAATGACTTTAAAAGCAAGGTTATGGAATGTGAGCTTTTTTCTAGTGGGATTCCAAGAACAATTGAAGATGTTTTTTAACAGTGTCACTTTAGAAAAATAAACGTGGTTGGTGTTAAGTGTGGCAAATTAAAAGGAGTGAGATAGAAGGCAGGGAGATTACATATAGGGCTAATGATATGGTTCACATAGGAGATACTAAGAGTTTTGAATTAAGATGACAGCCTTAGTTTCCCATCTGTTGAGATAGCTCCTATCTCATAGCATTGTTAGGGGATAAGATGAAATATGTCTAAGATTTCTTTACTAAGTTTTAGAGGATTTTTCCCTCTGTTTTTCCTTTTGAATCTCAGTATTTTCATTATAAAAAATAAATGTTTCACAGACTAAAACATATTAGATGTAGCTAGGTACAGAAGCACAAGAGAAATAAGACAATACTTAACCTTTTTTCCCCCCTGGGAATTGAACCCAGGATGCTTTACCACTAAGCTGTATCCTCAGACCTTTTTATTTTGAAACAGGGGTTTGCTAGGTTGCCCAGGCTGGCCTGGAACTTACTATCCTTCTGCCTCAGCCTCCACTGCACCCAGCTGTTTACTTAGCTTCTTAAACCTCACCATGGGTAACATATCCATACAGGCAACTCAGAGTACAGTGTTTCAACTTAATAGAGGGGTGGAACAAAGCCAGAGGAGGTGGGTCCTCACTGCCTTGTGTGTTTAGAGCACAGGGTGGTGGGGAGTTTCAGGAAAGTCTCTTAGAGATTGATTCTTCCAAAATCATTCTTAAGAATTTAGTGTAATGGCAATATGCAAAGGAGAAAATGATCATTAATATGTGAAAGTAGTAGGGTTAATATGTGAAAACATAGTCAAGAAAGGTGATGACCTATTGAAGAATTGGAGCACAGGGTCTGTCTGTATGCAATGTGGTGGAAAGACAGGGAACAGATCATCTAGAATCTTGTGTGTATGTGACATGAAAAAAGTCTGGACCCTATTTTAGATGATTGATATTACTTTTTTTGGTAAAAGTAATTTTAATAAGTTAAATAAATAATGAAATAAATAACTATTTAATAGTAAAGTTATTTGGATAATTTTAGGTAGGAAAATCATATGAGCATATTTATATTTTATGGCAGCAGGATTGATTGGAGTGGGCTGACTACATTAAGGAGACTATTTATATAAAAGAGTTGTATTAGTCTACTCTGAGAAATATAAAGACTTGAATTAAAGTTTCTAGAGAGTTGAGAATTTGTTCTTGACCAAAGACAGCAACTAGTACTATACGCCTGCTGTTTTGGAATCAGTGTTATTTTACTTAGGTCTTTGTGACAGTTAAATATAGATGTGGGGGGTGTGTGCAGTATCAAGGATAGTATTTAGGTTTTTAGAACAGGTTTTGTGATTTGGGGAAATATAATGAATTAAGATATAATGTATCTGAGGGACCTTTAGAAGATTTAGTTTACATCAAATAAATAGTTGTATACTTAAATAAAGTAGATCTGGTCCCCCACAGTAGAATTGAGAGCCACCAGGGTACAGACAGTAACTGAAGCCAATGGAATTATTAAATAATAAATAGCATTACATACCTTTTTTTAATACTATGTTTTTTACACCTGGTACGGGGGTCTCTAAAGCAGAGTTCGTATACCACAGGGATAATCCTGTGTATACCACAGGGATAATCCACTGGGAAATAGGGAAGGAAACACTAGAACTTAGATTAGTGGTTTTATTTTCTCCTAACTAATAATTAATTTAAAAAGCACTTTGTTTTATCCCTTATGGTCCTCTCACTAAAAACTTCACCAATTGTGAAGAAAATAAGAGCTATAGGGCTACATCTTGAGATTTCTTAGCAGTAGTGCAAAATATAGTGAAGTGGTCATCATTTTGGTTACTTTGTTACTTATGTATTTATGATGTACATCTATATTAATAACATAAATATATATCTGAATAGTATTGTAAAATTTGATCAAGGTGTATAATTAGTTTGGAAACTACCAAATTACTACTCTGTACAAGTCATTAAATTGTTTCAAATGAGGACTTGGGAGTTTCTATACGTTTCTTATATCTTGAATATAAAAATTAATTGAATACTTAATTACAAAATTTTGTATTTAGCTTCTGATAAATTTGATTTTAAGACTTAAAAAGATTTTCATTATATATGGATTTTAAAGTGTTTTGTCTTTTTCTTGTGAATATTATATAATTCAAGAATTTCAGTTTAATGGTTCTTTTAGTAGTAAATTGAACTCATTAGCAACACTAAGGAACTGAGTACCTTTTGATAGACAAAGATACTTAAAGTGAGTTGTTTCTGGTATTTTGTGTAAATATTAATACCAAGACTTTCCCTTGTAGCCACCTCGTACATCTCATCCCGTAGTGAAGTTTTCCTGTACAGACTGTGAACCAATGGTTATAGACAAACTGCCTTTTGACAAATATGAGTTGGAACCTTCACCGCTGACTCAGTTTATCCTGGAAAGGAAATCTCCTCAAACATGTTGGCAGGTAAGCTAAATAACTATATTGATCAAAAATTTTAAATGAAATGGTTCTTGAAAAGCTAAATTGAACCAGTGGCTTGCATAACGTTTTTTTTGAAGGTTATTAATATGAAATATTAACCACTATTTTTAACAGGTATATGTGAGCAATAGTGCAAAATATAGTGAACTTGGTCATCCTTTTGGTTACTTGAAAGCCAGTACAGCACTGAACTGTGTCAATTTATTTGTGATGCCTTACAATTATCCAGTTCTCCTTCCCCTTTTAGGTAAGTCACTCATCATGTTCTCACATATAAAATTTTTCCTAAGGATGAACTTTGAGAATATTCCTTAGTAATTTTCATTCTGAAAAATTAATGAAAATATTTTAACACTTTAAAATATTAAGCCTATTTAAGGAAAGTTTTATAACAATCTGTCATACTTGTGACAAATTGAAAGTTGATACTGAAATATGTTTTATTCTATAAACTAATGAAGGTATTTGTATTTAAATTTTTTAAATTAAATATGCTAGTTTTTCTGTAACTGAGTTCTTACACAGAATCACGATATAGGATTTCTTTTGGTGCATTAAACATTTTGTAGGTGCATACTACATTCACAAAATCTGAGTGTATTTTCTAAGCAATTTATATAACTTTATCTTCATTTATCAAATATATTCAGCAAAAGAATCGGTTCCAAAATGTTACAAGAAAGCTTGAGGTTAGTTTCTAGGTACTATCTGGATGTCATATTTTGAGGAGTATTACTGGAGAAAACTTCATTTCCTCCATGAAAAGGATCAGATTTTCAAGTTACAGTCAGAATATTAGTAAATATGTTTTAATAGAAAATGTTGCCAGAAATGGTGGCACATGCTTATAATCCTAGCCACTTAGGAGGCTGAGGCACGAGGATCCAAAGTTTAAGCCTGTCTCAGCAACTTAATGAGAACCGGTCTCAAAATTGAAAATTAAAAAGATAGGGATGTGGCTCCGTGGTAAAGTACCCCTGGGTTCAGTGTCCAGTACCAAAACATTTTAAAAAATAAAATAGAAAGTATTCGCATACTTCTTTCTTCAAACAAATTGTTTGGTGTCTAGGTTAAACAGGGCATGGGTTTCCTTGTATATTTTTTATTCTACTTTATTATTAAATGTTTCAACTGTAGTTGCCACCTTTTCATTTTCAAAATGGTATTAAACACCAAATCTAGAGATTTTACCGCTTTTAATTTTGTTAAAAACGTTTGACTGATTTTACTGTCTCACAAGTAACAAAGCAGACTTCAAAGAGGAAACTCTTCGATTTGGCTTTTATGTGTGAAAACAACATGTGATGATAGTTTATTCACTATATATTTCTAGATGACTTGTTTAAAGTGCATAAAGCAAAACCAACATTGAAATGGAGACAGTCATTCGAAAGTTATTTGAAGACAATGCCTCCCTACTATCTCGGGGTAAGAATATTATTAAAAGTTGAATGTTATAAAATTTTATATTGTGCTAATAACTTATTGTAGGTGTTATAAGTTTTCATTTATTGCTGTTATAGTTTAAATGCCTTGAAAATTGAGTGTACAAATGACTGGCATAGATGTAATGATAAAGACAGGTTTCAGTGATTTACAGAATAATGAATCATGATCATGAGAACATTTATATAGTGCTTTCCCTAGGCCAGGTACCGTCTTAAAGCACTTTACACGTTACTTCATTTAGTTCACATAGTCAACCTATGAGGTTCTTAGAAATGGTTATTTTCCTGTTTCACAGATGAGGGAACTAAAGCACTAAAAGGTTAAGTTAACTTTTCCAAGGCTACATAGCTAATATATGGGTGGACGAGAGATACCAGAATTCAGTCTGCCTTTAGAAGGAGTCTGGCTTTAGAATTATGCTTTTAGCTGGGAGCGGTAGTGTATGCCTATAAGCCCAGTGGCTTGGGAGAATGAGGCAGAAGGATTGCAAGTTCAGCAACTTAGTGAGATCCTGTCTCAAAATTAAAAAAATAAAAATGGCTAGGGATGTGACATAGTGGCTAAGTGCCCCTGTATTCAATCCCTGCTACCAGGAAAAACAAAAAGAATGTATACTTTTAACCTTGGTTGTTGTACTACCTTTAAAATTGTAGGTTTATAATTATTTTTAAGGGTGAAAAAGTGATGTGTGTTGTATTATTTTCTAAAACATCTAGAATACCTTTTTAGGTGAATAAGGTATGCTCATAGAACCATACACTTTTAGAAGACTGGACTACTTTAAAACTAGTGGATCATAGTTAGACTAATAACATGGTTTATTAAATACATTTATTTAGTTTGTGAAAAGTAACTTCTTAACAAAAAGACTAAACCACTTTTAAATATTCTGCCTTTTTTGTTGTTTTTTGCAGTGCTGGGGATGGAATCCAGGGCCTTGTGCATACTAGGCAAGTGCTCTACCACTGAACCACATCCCCAGCCCCAACTTCTGCTTTTGCAGAAATACTACAGCTTTTTGCTATAACTTTCTAAATGGTCCCTAATATAACTAGAAGATTATAATTTCTTGAGCTTTGAAAAAGATAACTTATATTGAACGTCTAGCACAGAGTACCTTCCGTGTATAAGAGTGAATGGGGAAGAAAACTTGGTGCATATGTTGACTCATTTATGTTTCATAGCAACTCTGAGGACTTGGCCAAAGCTGCATGGGTATTAAATATCAGAGCTGGAATTTGATTCCAGATTGATACCAGTGCTCATACACTTTCTAATTTGTCAGAGATTTTTTTTTTAATTGCACAAAGTTCTCAATTAGTCTGTTCTTACAATTGAAAGTTTTTCACTGTGTCATATCTATTATAAATTTAGATTTTTTTCCTCATTTTTTTCTTCAGAGCTTGTTTCATTTTTAGCTAAGTTAATGATAGTAATAGTAATTGTTAGCACCCATTGAATGCTTACTTGTGTGCCAGATGCTTTTATAAGTGATTTACATTTTGTAATCCCATGACAACCTTAGAAAGGCAGGTAGTATTATTATCCCCATTTTACTTGTGAGAAATTGAGGCATAAAGAAGTTACATAACTTGGTTCAAGGTCATATAGCTTGTGAGTGATTGAGTCACTGCCCATCCAGTTATCTAAGGTAGAAATCTTGTATTTTCCTTAAGTATTTTTCTTTTCACTTAAATACCCAAGTTTTATCACATCTTCCTCTATAGTGTGTCTCCTGTTTCTTCCAAATGAATATTTCCCAGTGGTTAAATAGTCTAGTACTTCACCCTTCTTGCCTTGAGAATTATTATTTTGACCTCTATTCCTTTTTAACTATTTCAGATGCTCTTTTTGCCACTGACATACATTTTACTTTAATACAAATATAGCTATATTATTTACTTTTGGAGGAAAAGAAGCAGAAATTATTTTGGAGAATTTTTAAAAATAAAGTCTATACATGGGCCATGAATTTTTAACATGCTTAATATTGAATTATGTTTCCTTTTTTCCCATAGCCCTTGAAAAAAGCTGTTAGAATGATGGGAGCACCTAACCTAATAGCAGACAGTATGGAGTATGGACTCAGTTATAGTGTCATTTCATACCTCAAAAAATTGAGTCAACAGGTAATGTCAAAAAAATAGAAGTGAGCCGTTAAGTAATTGGATAGATTTAACTAACACGGTTAATTGGTGAAAGGCTAGTTTTAGATGGTTCTAATGAAGTTCGCTTATATTAATTCTCTCATGTTAATATATTAACATTTTAAAACCATGAATCATATATTAAAATGGTTTGTCTCAAGTCAGTGTTTTGAACTGTTGCTTTAAAAGTTTTATAGTAATTCCTAATTTATAACATGGCTTCATTACTGTGGTCATAGATTTCTTTTATGTGATCATACCTAGGTTTTCTTTTGAGAAATTTGACTAGAAAGTTATTTTTCTTAGGAAAAAATTACCAATTTCTGTTGAAGTGTTTGTAAAAACACTAAATTTTATTTTTCTGCCTTTAAGCCACATTGGTAGATACTGTGATTGTCAAGCAGTATACAGTTTAACTGCCTGCCAAATTATTAATGTCTTATGCAGTACATAATTTTTTCAGTATTTCTGATATCTCTATCATAATTGCTAATCAAAATGGGAGGAATCAAAATATTGCTATTTACTTTCCAGGAAAAAGCTGCATTACTATTTGCCATATCTGTGAATGCTTCGTTATATGATGTCGTTAAGCAAATATTGATGAGGTTTTTTCTTCCTAATTTCCTATGACCTCTGAATATACATTTTCATTTATAGAGCATTTACACTATGAGGTTTAAGTATAATAGGTATTAATCTTTTAAAAAATTGTATTTGTTGTGTTTCAAAAGTTTAAATTTGTAATGATACAGAATCACAAAACCTTATTGTTTAAACTGCGTTTAGTTTCCCTAGTACTTGACATAAATTATGTTTGCTTCAGGTTTTAATTCCTTATTTTGAAAAACACAGTAAATACTTAATTTATAGAAGATCATGCCTATTGGTATCTGATTTATCAAGATTTTATCGAGAAAACTCTTCTTTGTTTTTACTTTAGGCCAAAATAGAATCTGATCGAGTCATTGGATCTGTAGGCAAAAAAGTAGTACAGGAAACGGGAATTAAAGTCCGCAGCCGATCACATGGTTTATCAATGGCATATAGGAAAGATTTTCAACAGCTGCTCCAGGGAATTTCAGAGGATATCCCTCACAGACTGCTAGACCTTAATATGAAGGAATACACTGGGTTCCAAGTTGCTTTACTAAATAAGGTAATATTCGATTTAGCAGTACTATAGTTATGTTCTGTTGTATAATTGAATAAATCAAATTTTCTGTTGACATTCAGTTTGTTGAGAGTTTGGAAAGTACTTCTCTACCTGTGCAGAATAATAATCATTAGAACTATCATTGAATTATTGGATTTCAGAATTAAATAAAGTTATGCATGGTATGTGAATGAATGGGTGAATTGATGAAGAATGAACTTATTCATTTTATAATTGAAAAATAGTGGTTTAGAAATTGAGCCACGGAGTTAATGATAGAATTCAATATGATTTGGTACCTATACTGATGACCCTAAAATGCTTTATGAATACTTATTGAAACTAAATTTATCCCAGCAATTTTTTTGTAAAAATAGGCAAGCTAATTTTAAAACATATGGAAATGTAAAGGTTCTAGAATAGCTAAAACAATTTTGATAAAGAAGAATAATATAAGAGGACTTACACCACCTGATTATAAAACTCACTATAAAGCTACAGTAACCACAGTGAATGTCTGATTGTTCCAGCATCCTGTGTTTAAAAGACTTTTTAAAAATCAACTTAATTATTTTAGCACCTTTGTTAAAAACTAGTTGACTATATGTGAGGACCTCTTTCTAGTCTTTCTTCTGTTTTGTTCATCTGTATGTTCTTATGCCAACACCACATATTTTGAACTTGACCCTTATCTCATATTCTTTGAAGTTATTATTTTCTGATATGTAAGAATTAAACCATAAACTTCTAGGAAAAAAATCATAGGAGAAAATCTTCAGAAGAAACTTTTAAAAATGAACAGGTAAAACTATAATCAGACACCACTTCACTCCTGTTTGAATGGCTGAAATTTAAAACACTGAAAAGTATCAAGTGTTGGTGAGGATGTAGAATCACTGGCATTTTCATACATTGCTGATGGCAAATAGCTTGTGGTTTCTTAAAAAGTTTAATATATATTTGCTATACAGTTCAGCAATTCTATTTGTAAATATCTACTGAAGAGAATTAAAAATAATGTTCATCTAAAAGGCTTTGTATGTAAATATTCATAGCAGCATTATTTGTATGTTTAATAGCCAAAAACAATGTAAGTGTTCAACTACTAGGTTAAGAAAGATGTTGTCTATTCATTAAATGAAATGCTGTGGAAGAAAAAGGAACAGACTACTAGTAGATGAATAATACAGATGAATCTCAAGAACATCATTCTAAATAAAGGAAGCCAGATACAAAAAATTAGATATTACAAGATTCTATTTATAAAACAAAATATAGAAAGACAGGAGGCTGATCAGTGGTTGTGTGGGGCTGAGAATAGGGATTGATTACAAATCAGTATAGGGAATTTTCTGGGGTGGCAAAAATCTTCTAAAACTGGATTGAGATTGTGGTGATAGTTTTGGAACTATAAATTTACCAACCCACATCAAAGCAGTGATTTTATGTTATGTAAATTATATATCAATCTGTTTTTTTAAAATAAACTTTCTGTTTTAAAAATTTGGACTGTGGGATGAAATTGACCAAACTCTACTGTATGCATGAATGAGTATATCACAATGAACTATACTTTATGTATTAACTATAATGTACCAATTTAAAAACCAATAAATAAATAGAAGGAATACAATAGAGGAAGGGAATCAGGGAAAGGAAAGAAAAGGGAAAGTCCTGGGGATTGAAATGGAGCAAATTTTTATATGCACTTAAGAATATGTCAAAATGAACCTCACTATCATTATAACTATTATGCACTAATAAAAACATTTTTAAAATATCTTTAGAGTTAGACGTGAATTTGAAATTATTTGGTTGCACTCATTATCAAATTTCCTTTTTCTCCCCCCACTGTAAAACAGCACATTAAGATTATCATAACATGGTAGTCCCTTTTTTTCCCCTTAAGGTAATTAGATACCTTACATATCTTGTTTCCAGACCTATGCTGTAGGCTGGAGATTTTAGTCTTTACTCTCTTAATTTTGTTTGAAATAAATTTTGTCCTTATTGTCTTTCAATAGGATTTGAAGCCTCAGACATTTAGAAATGCTTATGACATACCAAGACGGAATCTTTTGGATCACTTAACAAGAATGAGATCTAATCTTTTGAAGAGCACCCGCAAATTTCTTAAAGGACAGGATGAAGGTTAGATTATGATTAAAACATTCAACATTTTGGGGGTAACTTTTTTTCTTTATCACCTGAAAAAGTATGGTAATGTTTCCGTATTAGTATATTCTGGTTGTAGATTTAAACAAATGAAGTAAAAGGTGAATCATTCCTAATTTTTCTACCCTCTACCATCACTGTTGCCCCAAATTCTGTTTCCCAGAGATAGCAATAGTTTCCTTTTTGGCTTTCCTCATATACTCATATAAATAGAGTCTTACACATAGTCATTTTCTTGTCATATATTAGTATCTGATCGTTTCAATCTAGGTGGTCATTGCATGGCATGTTCTAATGTTTTCTTACTATATCCTGTGGTACCATTCACAAATAATCTCATGATAGTTTAACCCTTGGTCATCTGGGGTTAAAATATAGAAAGATAATTTATACTACTTTTTTGTACAAATTATTATTATTAAATTTTATTTATTTGGAATAGAGTAGAAGAGATGTATCATTTATGGCAAGGTTACATATTTTATTTACTGAGAGTAACTGTAGTATTTTTGTTTTTGTTTTATTTGGAAGGTGAGATTGGTGTTTTAAACTTAACTTGAAAAATCTCAAAGACTTTATGATAATTGCACCAAACTAATTGAGAAAATGTAATAAAAGGGAAGACTTTCTAGAATAGCACTAGGGTAGCATTCATATAGTTGATAACTAGATGAACTATGATTTTAGTGAGGGTAACTTTTGTTGTATTCTTTTGTAAAAGATCAAGTACACAGTGTTCCTATAGCACAAATGGGGAATTACCAAGAATACCTCAAGCAAGTACCTTCTCCACTAAGAGAACTTGATCCTGATCAGCCTCGAAGGTTGCATACATTTGGCAACCCCTTTAAGCTGGATAAAAAGGTAATTTTGAAATATTCTATTATATAATTTGCTTGCAGTAGGCATTATCAATTTTAGTGGTTCCTAATTTAACTAAGGTAAGCTGAAGCTGTTATCTGGTAGAGTACTGAATAAATGTCAACATAGTTAAAGTATAGTTATTTTAAGTGGAATTGGGATTGGGTTGTATAATTATGTAAATCCAAAAAATTATATCTATATAAGTATAAAATTACATAATTTTATAATCTCTGTAAAACCCCCCCCCCTCCAAAAAAAAAAAAACACACTTTTGGGGGAGGAGGGTGGTTAAAGAGAATAGAAAGGTGGATACCAGAGGCTGTGGTGAAAGGGATAAGGAAAGGAAAAATATTCATCAGCTTGACTGGAGTCTTTCACTGCTTGTAACAGTCATTAATAGTAATGTATTATAAATAATGGCCCACCACACACAAAAGAAAAACTGGTGAGGCGATAGATGTGTTAGCTAGCTGATTCAGTCTTTCTACATTGAATAGATAGGTCAAAACATCATATTGTATGCCATCCATACATATACCAAATTGTTTTTTATCAAAGTAAATAAGTAAATTTATCAAACTAAATAAATAAATGATAAACAATTTTTTTTCTTAGAAAAAAATTATATGTAAGTCCAAGAAAATTATATGCTTTTTTGTTATAGGGTATGATGATAGATGAAGCAGATGAATTTGTGGCTGGACCTCAAAATAAACATAAACGACCTGGAGAACCAAATATGCAAGGGATCCCTAAAAGACGTCGGTGTATGTCTCCATTATTAAGAGGCAGACAGCAGAACCCTGTTGTGAACAATCATATTGGAGGAAAAGGACCACCTGCACCTCTGACTCAAGCACAGCCAGATCTTATTAAACCCCTTCCTCTTCATAAAAGTAAGAGTTCTAACTTTTAAAAAACATTAGTTGTTGCTTTTTGATTCTTCCTGAGGGAAGAGGTTTTTAACATAGTAGGTAATAGAAAAAAATTAATTGGTAAAGTTCAGTGAATGCCTAGGGGAGAGATTTTTTTTTTTAATTGGCATGTGATAATTTTTGAATGGCTTTAATGAGTATTTGCTGGAAACTTCATATATTCATGGTAACTCTGTTAGCTGTCATGCTTTAAAATGGTGTTAGAAAATCCCAAGTTTGGAAATAATGGTTTTGAAAGGAGCATTATCAGTACCAGCAAAAACCAGCTTTCCATTGCATTTAAATACAAAAGCTAATTATTAAATACATGTATTATTTTGAACAGCACTACACATTGAGGTATAGCAGTGAATACGACAAGATCTCTGCCTTCATTTATAATGAGCAAGGGAGAAAGTCATCGAACAGTTAATTAGAAGTTTGATAAGTGGTACAAAGAGAAGTTAAGTATATTATGGAAGCATTTGGCAAGAGTGTTTAACTTACTTTATGAGGGCAATACACTGAAGATAAGTTGAGGGATGAATGGGAATTTGTTAAATAAAGCTGTGCATTTTCCAATGCTAGAATAGTAGTCTGAGAAGAATATGTGTAAAGATAGTAATGAGAAAGGGACCTAAGGAATTCTGGTGTAGCAGCGGTGTTGGGCATATGATAAGATAAAACTGAAAGATAGAAATAATCATGGAAGGCTATTGTAAAGATTGTACAGAGCTGTTGTAAACATTCTCTGCTTGATGCTAAGGACAGTGAGAATCTGTTGAAAGATTTGAAAGAGCAGATGACCTGATCTAATTAGCATTTTTTAAAAACCAGACTCACTAATGTGTGGAATATTATCAAGGAGAAGCAAAAATGAATGTAGGAAACTCTTAATGAATTAATGGATTTATTAATTGTAGGAAAACATATTATATACCTCCTAATGAATTAGATAGTACTCCCTCTGAAGTGGATTTGACTCCCCCTCTACTCCCAAGCAAAACAAAACAAATTGAATGTTAACTACCAATTCAAGGGAAATACAAGGGATGGAGAAACATGTTTTAAATGATAAAAACCAGAGATATAATCAGCAAAATCCGGATTATAGAAAACTCTTGTCGGGCCAAGAATCTGTTATGGTTTATCCTCCTCACCCCCTCAAAAGAGAAAATGCATAGTAAAAAGGGGAACAGAAGGATGTGTTCATGCTCAGGGACCATTAAGAAACACAGGGAAGAGATGTTTGTGACCTGACTGTGGGCTTGTGAGAAATATGTGCTCGAGGAATATTTGGACATACAATAAAGGACATTGTGATTGATTGAATGTTTGGGTCAAAGCAAAGGAGGAATCAGGCTTCTGTCTTGAAACATACTGGATAGACTGGAAGAGAGGGGACATGTGAGTTTAGTTTAGAAATGCATATTAGATAGGCAAGTAGAAATCCAAAGAGGAATATGAATTTGGAACACAGGATTTGGTCTAGAGGGATAGGTATGGGAGGTAGCTTATCATTGCAGTGAGGAAAATGGTAGGGAAAAAAAGAGCCAAGAATAGAACTTTGAAAATGCCCAAGTTAAGAAGAGAGGGAACAGAAAAGGAGATTGAGAAGGAAGAATCCAAGAGATATAGGAAAGAATTAATGTTACAAAAACTAAGAGAATTGAATGAGAAATGAAAGAGAATTGAATAGTTGGTGATCTCACATATTTAAAAAGGAGACCATTTGAGAGAATTGGATCTATTGCTCTTTGGCTGTTTTAACAGTTTCTGTGGAGTAAGGCAGGCAGAAGCTTTAAAAAGAGGGGTGGAGAGAGAAATGAGAAGTGAGAAAATAGAGATAATCAGTTTAAGAAGTTTAACTGTAAAGGGTAGATGGGGAAGGTGAATGCTAGCTAGAAGAATTCATCAGGTTGAAAGTCGTGATTTTTGCCTTGTTTTTAAGATCAAAGAGAATAGAAAGTAAAGTGCTGATATGAAGGAACCAATAGAAAAGGATAGGTTGAAAATGAAGATGAGAGAAGATGTAATCAGTACAGAGTCACTGAGAAGGCAAGAGGAAACAGTCCTGAGTGCTATGAAAGAATGCTGCTTCCATTGAACTGAAGGGGTATGGGTACAGATTAGGGGGAAGCACAGAAAAGTTTCTGGTTCACAGCTTCATCAAATCTGGGGTTTTGCCTAGCAGATGCCATAGGAGGACAATAGAAGCAGAGAATTGGAACATTGGTAAAAGGTGATCTATTAGGGGAGATAAACCTCTGATTGATAAGAAAGTGGCTATCTTGCAGAGATGTGATTAACAGGGAGAAAGCAGAGGAATTGCTAGAGTAATAATCTAGTGTTAAAGACCAGAGGCAATACTACTGCAAAGATGAGAGTTATGCACCTTCATCTATGAATTTGTGTTGGGTAGGAGAGGCAAAAGTGTTAAGTGGAGAAAGTTCTTTGGAGATAAGAAATTGGGGATTGATGAGGTGAGGTATTTTTTTCTTTAAGTATTTTCATAAATTTATTTAAAATTTTAAAAAAACAACAATTGCAATGACATCAAATTATCAATGAAAGGCCAGGTTCTTGATAGGTGATCTTTTAGACATTGGTCACCATACCATTTCTTCTTAAACTTTAATGTGCATGAGAGTCACCCGGGGGGGTGGGGGTCTAGTTAAACTACCAGTTCTTATTATTCAGTCTGGGGTGGTATTCAAGATGGGCATTTTTAGGAAGGTCTTTGATGATATTAGTAAGGACCTAGAATTATGTCAGGAGGGACGTGGTGGGTATACTATGAACCAGGTGTAAGAACTATCAGTGGCTATAGGCATGTACCCTGGGTTCAGTATTAAGATATAGTGTTGAGGAGAGAGAGGATAGGTGGCAATGTGTTCCGCCTCAAAAAAACAAGAGTTGTTACAAGAAATCTTGAAATTACACTGGGAAATGAAAGAATCACTCTTGGAGAGTGTGTGAGAGAAAGCAGTTCTGTTCCAGGTCTGAAAAGGAGAGCAGATTCTTTGTAAGAATAAAGTATAATAAAATATAAATTTCTGTTGTGGTAAATATTTAATAAAAAGGCATTTGCAAATCATGGAATGGAATTTAGGAAGAAGTTATGAGACTAGGAGATTTGTGGGGATGAATAGACAGGGGAATATGAGTAAATAGGACAGAGAACTTAGAATTTACCTGCTTTCTATGGGGAGCAAGTCTAATAATATGATGTTTAGGGCAAGCTCTCAAGCTTTTGGGTCTAATGTGTGCACCAAGTTGCTTTACATTGCTCAATTCTTGTGGTCTATATGAATGGTTATAAGAAAAGCACGTACTATGAAATATATATATGACCTGTTTGATATGTTCCCCACAGACTTTGGAATAGTATATTTTACCTCTGATAATAGGCTGAGGTAGATTGGAATGAGCTAAGGCTTTCTGAGATAAGATGACCATGATAATTTTAATCATTTTTTTCACTAAAGAATTGAAAACATACTTGTTCAATAAAATTGCCAAAGAATAAAGTAGAGAATTAAAAACTGATTGAAATTGGCTTTATTTTAAATTTTTTCCCTAAGGGCAAAAGTTGTATAGATTTTGTAAATATTGTGATTGCTTCACATTGAAACCTACCATATTTTTGGCAAGACTTAGGGATCACATTATTTGTTAATTTGCATTTGTTGAGGAAGTCAGTTGTGATTTGCTTTAGTAATGTTTTTTTTTTTTTTTGTAGCTTTCTTTATTGTGTACATTCATATTGGCTCTCAATTTTTTTCCCCCTTTATCTTTGTGTTTAGTTTCAGAAACCACTAATGATTCAACAATAGATGATGTGGTTGAAAATCATGTTGCAGACCAACTTTCATCAGACATTACACCAAATGCTATGGATACTGAATTTTCAACATCTTCAGCTAGTTTACTGGAACGACCAACCAATCATACAGAGGCTCTTGGTCATGATCATTTAGGAACTAATGACCTCACTGTTGGTGGATTTTTAGAAAATCATGAGCCACCAAGAGATAAAGAACAATGTGCTGAAGAGAATATACCAGCTTCTTCACTCAATAAAGGAAAGAAATTGATGCATTGCCGAAGCCACGAAGAGGTCAATACTGAACTAAAAGCACAAATAATGAAAGAGATCCGAAAGCCAGGAAGAAGTATGTATAATTAGAGACAAATCTCAGATTTATTTTCTGTATGTGCTCAAAAAAATCAGAAGTCAAATTATGTAAAAGTATATATCTGATTCCAGATCAGTCTTGAACAACATCTGAGCTACTTTTAATTTGATTCTTTATTCTTCAGAATATCTGGCTATGTCCAAGGTTTAAGGTGTGGAAGGATGAAAGCTAAAGAACATGCAGATAAATTACCTGTAGCTCCTACTATAACAGTCTTGAGTATTCTGACCAAGAACTAGAATTTTAATATAACAACTCACCCAAAAAAAGATATAGTTAATATTAAATAATTTTATGTCTGTAAAGTTCTCATCCTAATGCCTACCACTGTGTTTAAGTTTTAAACTATGGCAGTGACAAAGAATATGTGTAGGCCAAAAAACTAAAATTATGAAAGCTTTGTACTTTATGAATGCAAATGAACTTTATGGGGAAAAAATCTGAATATTACTGATATTCATTCAGAAGATGTTAGCAGATCATCTACTATGACGGTGATGGTACAGTGAGTGATCTGTAGGTAGGCCAGAAGAGGGTAAGATTCAGTCCTTGGCAGAGTTGTATGTGAAACATTGAGATTCCAACAGCACCCTTACTCTTTTTGTGTTTTTCCCTTCCTTTTACCCACCATGTAGTTTAATTTAGAATTTAAATTATAAGGAGGGATTTTTGTAAAAAGCCATTTGCCTCTTACCTTTCAATGGTACTACTGAAAAGCTTTTTATTCATCCTTCCAAGCTTTGTTTAAAACCTTAATGAGAGCTTTTGCCAAAAGAAGGTGACAAATTATTTAGTTTTTATTGATAAATATTTTCTTTCACATAGATATATTAAAATGTATTATAAAATCTTTAAAGTATGGTGATATTTTTAGGTAGAACTTTTTTTGTTCTCAGTATACCTTAATATAAAAAACTGCAAGAGGAAAAGTAATGAATGAAAATATAAATGAAAGCCACTTATTTTTTTTTCTTGTTTGAAGAATATGAAAGAATCTTCACTTTACTGAAGCATGTGCAAGGCAGTTTACAAACAAGACTAATATTTTTACAAAATGTCATTAAAGAAGCATCAAGGTAAAATAAACGATTTTATTTATTATGAATTAGTTATCTTGAAATGAGTTCCCAGTTTACATAGGCAGTATTTTAACAGTATTTGTTATTTATTTACTTTTGTTTATCCATGCATATGGCATGCTGAGATATATATGTAGTTCTTTTCGGGGGGATGGGATGTATTGGGGATTGAATCCAGGGGCACGTATCTACTGAGCCACACTCCCAGCCCATTTTTATATTTTATTTAGAGATGGAGTCTCCCATAAGTTGCTGAGGCTGGCTTTGAACTTGTAATTCTCCTGCCTTAGGCCTTTCAGAGCTGTTGGGGTTATAGATGTGTGCCACCATGCCCAACAAGAATTCTCTTAAAACATAGCCACACTGCCAGTGGTGGGCACACACTTGTAATCCCAATGACTTTGGGGAGGAGGATAGCAAATTTGAGACCAGTTTGAGCAATTTAGACCCTCTCTGAAAAATAAAAAAGGGCTAGGGATGTAACTTAATGGTTCAATACCAGTACCACCCATGGGGGAAAAAAGAGCCACATAGAAATTATTCAGGAATTATGGAACTTTTCTCCCTGCAGATGACTAAGTATTTTCAATATTATTGTTCATCCTTCTCTGTAGTTTTTTTTTTCCTGGTGTTTTATGTTTTATAGCCTTTAATTTTTTACCTTTTTATATTAATAGTAATTGGTGATTAGAAATAATTTAGAAAGGCAATATTTGAATGCATTTAATTTGTACATGGGAATACATGTAATCAAGGGGACCAGAGTTCAGCAAATGGTCCTTATTCAGAGTGTTAGTGTTTCAGTAGTCCGGGATTATGTACTTTAGTACAAGGAATGTGGATCAAGGTTATAAATGTAAACTATGAAGTGCAATTAATTGGAAAGCATAATTTTACAAGCTTAAAAACATTTTCTACTTTTCTTTCAAGACAAATTTTAGTATTATGAGAAACATTAGGATTATTTAATCTGATTCAAATATAAACATACTTATCCTTCAATTAGTCCCCTGTTTATCTCATGCTATATTATAAAAAATTTTGGAGAGAGCAGTTAATTTTTTCTTTTTCTTTTGTCATGGCTAGAGCATGGGTCTATCAGGATAAGGTCATAATTTTTCATACAAATTTGAATATTTAACATAATTTGTTCTTTGTAACTTTTTTCTGGTGAGTTCAAACTTCATTCTGAATTTAGCTAGAATATTGGCACCTGAACTCCACTTCTTAGAGAGTTGTGTAATATGGTGACTATTTGTGTTATTTTACAAATAAAGAGGAAGTAAGAATGGAATGTCTAGTAGTGTTTCAGGATATTATAAAAAAAATCAGTGATATTTATATAAATGAGTGCAATTTTAATCTACCTATGTTTATTACTTAAATTTTTCAAGAATTAACACTAAAACTTTTAATTGTTTCCTGTATAATAGCTATCTAATTATCCTTGATTTGCTATCTTTCAAATTATAATAGTAGAACACCCTTGTTTTTAAATGTAACTACCCAATTTTCATTTCTCTCTTCCTTTTTGTGTAATTCATGCTTTGTTCACATTCCTTTCAACACTCAACTTTCAAAGAGCAGAAGAATATAGTGCAGTGATTGCTTTGGGAGTCCAAATTTTACTGAGTATTTGGAATGCTTGCATATGTTAGTATTCCCTTTGCCCTGCTTTTACTCTTATGGTTGTAGGAAAAATAACACCTTTCTTGCTATTTGTAGGTCTATATTTGTTGTAGGAACAAACCAATATTGTTTGGGCACAAGTAATAGTTTACAAATCTTCATCAACAGATTTTATGTCATAGAGTGTTGATTTTCCATTTCACTTTTTAAAAAATCTTCCCCAAAGCAGATTTTTTTTCTATTTTAAAAACATATATTCTGGTATATGTCATCCATTAAAAAGTAATTGAGAACACTATTGTTTGTTTTCCAAACAGGTTTAAAAAACGAATGCTAATAGAACAACTGGAGAACTTCTTGGATGAAATTCATCGAAGAGCCAATCAGATCAACCATATTAATAGCAATTAAAGGAAAATGAGAATGTGGCCACTTATTTCACTATCTTCTCCAAATACAAAGTAAATACAAGACTGTTGTGATCTTGCATTCATTTTTTGACATGCATTGTTGGCTATTTGAAATACTAAAAGCAAATCTACAGATCCTTTTTCCATCATTTTACAGTGACCTTTTCTTCATTTTGGTTTATTTTTGTAATGTGAAAAGTATCACTCTAAAAAACATTTTTATTTAACAAACTAAAAATATTCCTCCAAATCTCTTGCTTGTCATTGACTCTTGCGTGTCAATTTCCCTCAGGTTCTATTTTCTTAAACCAACCTTTAAAATTGTCACCTCTGTTAAGGTTGAACTTTGCCAAAAAAAAAAAAAAAAATTAAAAAGAAGTTACTTTGTAATTTTTGGGGAAAAAAGCACATACGTTAAAACTAGGTAATGTTTTGTATATACAGTTATTTTGGATATATTATTGTAAGTTGTACAAATGTATTTTGAAGAATATTTAAGAAAGCACTTTTGTTATTCCATCAATAAATGCTCTATTTTACTCTTGTGTGGTTTAGGAAATAATCACATTCAAAATAATCATTTACAAACATCCTTAGATAATGGAATTTTAAAGGCCTTGCTTTTTAGCATTGGAAAACACACCACTTGAAGTTCATATTTGTTAAATCTAACTGTAATTACATGTTACATGATCTGCATTGTTTCTTTACTATTTGTTCATAGCTTTTGTTGGCCACATCAGTATATTCCCATTTCTGCTTGGATCATGGAAATGGCTATGTCTGTGGCAGCAGATAGACTCTAAAAGCTGTTTTAAAAAGCAGACAGCTTTGGAAGTTACTGATTTCCTTATCTCCCTTCAACCCTTTTTCCTTTCTCATAGGATTCTGGATGGTACTAACTTGAAGTTGTTAGTTAGGGAGTGATAAGTTTGGGGAATGCTACATACTCTGTAATAGCTTGCCTTTAGCAAGTTTGATGCCATGCCAAGCTTATAAAAGTCCATGCATGACATATTAGAGGTTTAGCGGTGATCTCTTCATTCTGCTCTGCAATTCTCAGACTTAAACTCTCAATTTTATTTAGAAGCTAAATAGGAAAGGAAACAGATTTAAGATGATTTTGTTCATTTTGCATTCCCTCTGAGTTATACAGGCTGAGAAAAACCGAAACCATCCATTCTTCACCCTCAATCCAATGTGACCTTCTTTATCCTTATTGAGGATGCCATCCTGTGACTTGATAATTTCACCATTCATAGATCACTGCTGTGCCTTTTAGTAGTTTTGAGGGTAACTAGTAGAAAAGGTTAAATTTTTAGATTTGAATTGAGAGGGCAAATATGTCTATAAAATTATAATAAAATTGAAGTATTTTTAGGTTCATAACATTTGAAAATCACATACCCTTATCTTTATACACTTTTATCAGAACATTTTTAAATGTCAAAGGTATAGCAAAATGAAATTGTAACTAAAATTTTTATGAAGAAAAACACATGAAAATGTAGAACATCCTTGAGATCTGCTTAATTCAGTCAAGGGGATTTGAAACTCTCCCAATACTGAAGACAAATCCTGTCAAGATAAAGAAGCATTTAATGTAACATTATATAGTATTTTCATATGCAATTCTTTGAACCTTTTTTTACCTTTACAAAATATCATCAAGTAAAGCAAGATACAATTTAATAATTGGAGTTATTCAAGTAATTGCCCACAGTTACATTGCTAAATTCAGCAAGAGCTACACAAAATCCAGAATGTACTGTCTGGTCTTGAATTTTATGTATTTAGATTAAGAGTAATAGAAGACATAAGAAGTGATTCAAATAGAAGTTCATACTTAATATATATGAAAAAGATTAATTCCAGTGGCAGTTTTTTTGGTACTGGGGATTGAACCCAGGGGCACTGTATCACTGAGCTACATTCCCCAGCCCTTTTTTGTTCAGAGACAGGGTCTTGCCTACATTGCGTAAGGCCTTGCTAAGTTGCTGAGGCTGGCCTCAAACTTGCCATCCTCCAGGCTCAGCCTCCCGAGTTGCTGGGATTGCAGGCATGCGCCACCCACCATGCCTGGCAATAGTTGATTTCCATTTCACAGATTGCTTATGAAGTAATGATTCTTTAGACCCTTGACCTTTAGTACATTTTTCAGAAGGAACTCTATAAGGACTTGGAAGTATCAGTTTATTCTGTCTCCTCTTTTTGACCTTTATCTCTCTTCCATGACATAACCTCATGCCAAAAATCTAGTCACAGAGTTTGAAACCCATCACAACCAAGCTTAATATCTCATCTCTCTCAGGCTTCTTTCATTTATTTAAAACAAACAAACAAAAACTACAGATGAGTTGGTTAACTTAGTGAACTTAGGCAGGTATGTCTTGAGACTCTCAGATCACTAAATGACCTTACATTGGCAAATGGTATTTTCTGAAAGGTTAATGTTGGAAGTTTTTACATTGCTTTTTAAAAAATGTTCCTGTGTGTCTAATTTGTCGATTGATTCATTAGTTGCTCTTATCATTAAGCTTTGTCAGTTTGGAGTAGTGAAGGCCGAGACTTGTTTCTAATTTTCTCAGTAACTGTCAGTAGCCTCTTTGATTTGGGTGATATGGACAAGAGCCTTCCAGAAAGAAATGTAAACAAATTCACAAAGGCTATGCTTAGATTTGTGGTGGATTATTGAACTAGTTTTGAATTAGCCTTATATTTTCATTCTGATTGCTAAGGCAGTTCTGAAAACTAAAGTGGTGTGTCATTTCCTAGTTCAAGAATTGTACACCATTTTTATGCAGCTAATAGAATCTCTCTTTTAACTGTCATCAATCTTTATTGGCTTATCAGCATTTGGCAATGACCTTTCTGTTAAAGTTTAGCCTTATCTTGGTTTCTTGAGAGTAGAACCTACCTTTTTTTTTTTTTTTTTTTTTTTGACATGTGACTCTCTGCTGCTTGTCCTGAGTGATAAGTGACATTTTCATCTAATCACTATGGGGTTGGGCAGATCATGGTGATAATGCTAAGTGGATATATTCTGTTGATGGACTTTTTCTCCCCAAATAATCCCTTAATAGATTATCTTCATCCTTTTGTCACAAAAATGTTCCTTTTATTTCTAGTGCAAGTAATGGCAGTATGCAAATGATTCTCAGATAAAATGATGTTGACAGTATTTCTTTAATTTGTGTAAAACTATGCTTAATTTTCATAATTCTAACTTTTGACTTTTTTTTCCCTCTCCATAAATAAAAGTAATGCCTGATGTTTAGTTAAAGTAGATCCACCTTTGCTTCATTTTATTAGTCTTGTTCCATCCTATTTATTTTTAATACACTGTTTAGACTTGCCAACAACTCTTTACTGAGAATCTCTTCATTCCTAAATATTGTCGGGGGGGAGGAGGAACATTAAGAGAAATAATTTAAAGATTTTGTATCATGTTATTGAAGCTTAAAGGACATCTGCTTTTCTTTGTGATGTGCAAGGCATTGCCTGTATCACACCATCTTTGGGTTGAGATAAGACTATATAGTGGGACTTAAAAAGTTCTAAGGCAAATATTTGATTTTTGAGAAAGATAAATAGAAGAACAATATAAAAATCCAGATGAATTCACTAGAATTCTAGAGTCACTAGGGGTGTTCTCTGAGACACTCTTGGGGCCTGAGGAAACTGTCTTTTCCTAAAATGATAGGAAAGCCTAGAGAACAACTGGCCACAGGGGAAGAAAGCCGATATAGAGGTAGGGGTTATAGCTTAATGGTGGAGCACTTCCTAGCAAGTACCAGGCCCTGGGTTCAATCCCCTAGTGCCACAAAAAAAAAAAAAAGCTATTTACTTTCATCATGATTTCTTAGTCTCCCCAAAAGTAGATACCTACAGAATTTAAAAAAAAAAAAAAAAAAGCTTTAAATAAGCTGAGAACAAAAAGGCAGAAAACATGGAGAATAATAGTTCCTTTGTACATGAAATAGTCTCTCAGACTATAAGACAAATTCACAACTGGAAAGCTTCTGAAACACTATAGAAATAGCTAGAAGGATTGCCTGTTTTAGGTTGTAGGAACGGATGAGCCATTGATTCATAAATATTTAATTATCTCAATCCTATTAAAAAATACCTGTGCTGGGTTCTCTCAGGAAAAAGATGAATGGCCGATCTGCCTTAAAAACAGGAATCCGAGACCTTTTAAGTAACAACAGAGCTGCAAGAAAAGAAAGAATGGAAGAATCCCACTATATCTGTTATTTATCTGAAGAAAAGCACAATTTAGATTGGGTACAAATTCAATTATATACCTTGATTTTTTTTTTTTTTTGAAAGAAACCAAAGCATTCTATGACATTTCATTGTTTGGTGTTTAAGGTGTGCAAAAGGGAAAAATAAGAATAAAAGATAACAGCCAAGCCTCTTATTTTTCAAAGATTCCATGGAATAAATTTCTTAGAGAAGGTAATTTTTTAAATGATTCTATTTCTTGTTTACGAGATGATGGTATAAATCCTTTCCAAAATGAATCTCTTCCATTTTTCAAAAGTGTTTCTGTTTTCTGTTAACATTCTTTTTTTTTTTTTTTTTTTTAAATACTAACTTCTGGACTGGGGTTTTTAATGGAAAGGTTTAGAATGGATGCAACTGGTCACATTTAGCAAGGGTAGATAGAAAGGGGCCAGCGTGTGGTGGGGGTTTCTGGACATACCTGTGCCTGCTGATGCCTTGGTGCCTTCCTCTGAAACCTCCAGCTTGGCTTTGTGTATTGCTTCAGAAACATAAATGCCATCCTGGCCTGGCCCCAGAAAAGGAAAAAAATGTGATTTGCTTGTTTACATTTTTCCAGACATTTAGTCTAAGTATTTGAGTACATTTTAAAAGAATGTACTTAAAACTTAGTTTCCATTGCTGCTTACTGTATAGCTAGGGAGAAATTGTTTAGAAAATTATCAGCTTTCAATATTTTTATGCAACTTTCAAAAACCCAACTTGTTAAATTTACTAATAATTCCCTCCTCCCCACCAAAATTAATATTCAGGCACTGTCCCATGTTTTCAATAATTAATTTTAAAAGTTAATCCTAGTTAACATTAAAATCTTCAGCCAGTATTTCTAAAACTTTAATTAATAATAAGAATTATATGAGTTAAAAGGCAGATTCTGTAGCCCAGTAATCATTTCCAGTAAGCTTCTGTGATGATTTTCCTTGAGTCCCTTCTTGGATTGCATTTCTAAGAGTCACTTTTATGCAACCTTATTTATTTATTATTGTGGTGCAGGGGATCTAATCCAGAGCCTTGCAGTGTGTCGGCAAGTGCTCTACCACTGAACTACCTTTAAATGGTCAAGTTACAGGGTTTTAGCTTTAAGAGGCATAATTTACTGTATTAAAAATGTGTCTAATGTTGCAGCTGCATTCTGTGTGTCAGTTGCCTCTTGGCCCCAAATCTGCAGAGAAAATGGGAATGTCTAACTAATTGTGCTGTGCACTAACAGTCTCAAAAGATCTAAGCTTAGCAACTGGGACTGTGAGTGATGACTTGCAAGTGACAGAATTCTGTAATTTAAAAATTAACCATTTTGAAACAGTTCTCCAAAGATGAAATGGTAGTATATGGAATAGAGAATGAAAGAATCTTTAGAAGAAACTTCAGCTATTAAAGGGGGCTGTTAAGTCGATAAGCAGAATTGGAAACATGCAGGTTTTAAAACTCAAAGCCCATTTCCATCCCATCCCTCCACTCAAACACTACCACTTTTCAGAAAGTGTGTTCTAGTCAGCTCTAGCATGCCAACTAAAGGGATCTATAGCCTGCGTGTTAGAATAGTCAATTTAATGTATTTCAAGGGAGCTTTTTGTCTGTTTGGTTTTAGCCTAATTCATTTGCATTAGTCTTGCACATATAAGGAAATGGGACATGAGTGTCATATGGAAAGCCACCCCAGAATATAGAATATGCAGCATTTCATCCATCTTGTAATTAAGGTATGTCCAGGTATTGTGAGTTAGCTATGGTCACTATAAGGAACAATCATTTGCGAGAATCAGGGGAGGGACAGAAAGGAACCAGAGGAAGGAGAAAATCCATGGAAACATTGATTTGGCACCAGAGAAGAATCTGGTTTATTTAGCAGTTAGTCTTTTTCTGCAGGACTTTTGAGAAAATAAGTTTATTTGTCGATAATTAGCCCTTCCTACTAGCTCGTTGAGCAACCACAGTGCCAGAATTAAAAACAATTTCTGGATAAAGAATGATTCGTTGACAGTCGTGACAAGGTTTTACTATTTCTGTGACTTCATTACCATTTAGTATGATGTCTGAACATTTTAAATAAGTGATGAAATGAGTAGAGCTCACTATGAAACTCCAACTCCCTATAGACTAAAATACAGTCAGCGCATGTCTGTGTTAGTCTGGGCATGGTGTGAGAAATGTGGCCAACCGGGATGGATGTCTTCAGGAAGATAGGTTGGGTTATTTCAATGTCTTGAAAGTGAAGAGTTTCCTTTAAATATGTTTTCTCAATTAGACTACAGAAATGGTACAATAATTGTCAGCCATAAGCCAAGATCCATAACCTGTCATGCCTCAGTATTGACATCTCTTAAATTTTATCTCTGGCAAGAGTTGACATTCCAAAAGACCAACGTGATAAAAATGAGAATTTGGGAGATTCTGTGTGTTTTGAGTTTGCCTTTTGATCTTGGACTACACCTCCCTTTGCTTACTTTGGTTAAGCAATGTTGAAATGTTATGCAACTCATGAAATCAACCTAGAAGACGCTGAGCATGCGAGGATTTCCTGGCCTTTTTCTCTTCTGAAGTGTTGGCAGCTTAGTGTCTTTGAAGATCATACAGATCTTTTTCCCCAGGTCATTTTTAGGTGCTTTTCCACAGTTGATTAAATGTGGGAGACATGGCTAAACTCTTTTGCACTTTTGTTTTGAGTAGGGAACTTCTCAGAGCTAATAAGTTGTAATGTTTTCAATGAATGTTTACAGGAGGCTCCCAATACTTAGTGTTTAGCCATAAAACCATCTATACCACTCCTGTGCTCAAATTTACTGGACTAGCATTCTAGAAAATATGCTTAGGGAAATGAGCAGTATAAACCCATTCACTCCTGTTTACATTTCAATACCTAAAGCAAAGGCGTGGGCCCTTTCCTGCCCTCCCTCTGTCATACTTCCCACTTCTTCCATAACATCTTCTACCAGTGCTTACCCTCCTTTTTCAATTGTCAGCACTAGAAGGCAGAAATGACTTAGTCATTTTTAAATACTTCGTTGCCCAACTTGCATAATCTTGTTAAGATTATGTGTTTACTAAATTACTGGATGAATTAATAATAAACCCTCACAACCATTTGCCTCATTTCCCCCACAAAGAAATTGTCCTTTGTGTTCTTTAACAGTGATTACATCTATAAGAAAATGTTGGTTAGTGTGTCAAACAGCAAGCACACAGCAAGTCTCGGCCAAATGATTGTTTCAGTTCCCCTGACTCCCTTTGTTGATGGAGGCTATTATTCTTTTGTGTATGGTTGGTCACATTGTCAAAAGGATTCGTAGTCTTTATATTGTGACTGTGTAAACACGAGATTTGTAAAATGGGTGTCTCTACATTTACTGTATTGTTAGGGGCTTTAAAAAAATTATTTTTTCCAGAACTTGCATCTAGCTTACCTTTCTCATCTTGTCATTTAGCTGCTAAGAGATGGAGGGTGTGTGTGTGTGTGTGTGTGTGTGTGTGTGTGTGTGTGTGTGTGAATTTCACACAGAACCTAGCCCAGGATACAGAGAAACAACACTAAGAGGAATCTGAGATGGCTTCTGAACTTAGGCTGTAGTTAGTTTCTTTCTCCATTTTTCCTAGTGTTTATCTCACTCATTACTCCTGTCTGTGTAACTCTACCAAACAGCTGGTATGATGTATGTTAATTCATGTACTCTGGATGGTTTGCTCATTTGAAGTCATAGTAAGTCAAAGTAAGAGAGCCTGGTACTTCTTACTGAGCAGAGATTGGAAACTGATTACTTGCTTATAAAAGCAAAGAATAGTTTCGTGCTTGTGTATAAGGAATGTTTCCTGGACTAAAGGAAGTGGATCTATCTGTATCAAAACCTGGTGATCCTAAAGGAAGTATTCAAAAAGATTCTGCTTGGTCTCTTTACTGCGAATGAGACTAGAATTACTTTTTTAAAAAATATATTTTTCTTTTTTAGTTGTTTTAGTTATTTTATTTTGCTTTAGTTATTTTATATTTGGTGCTGAGAATTGAACCCAGTGCCTCACACATGCTAGGCAAGTGCTCTACCACTGAGCTACAACCCCAGCCCTAGAATTACTTTTAAAAGTTTCATAACACCTGGTGTCAAGGATGTCTGGTGTGGGGGGAAATTGTGCCATGGGCTCAACTGAGCCTTGAAATGATGTTGAGTCAGTTCTTCAAATAGGAAAAAAAACAAAAGATACAAAGAAGAGACAGGTGACTTTTAGGTAGGGAAGGAGAACTTGAATAAAATGATTCAGGGCTTTGAAACCAAATGGAAAAAGGCCAAATATTCTCTATGATTGTTGGACTTCCATCAATAGTACAAAACTGCTTGGTGACCTCTTGTTAATTGAAGGAAGAGAGGTCAGCATTTTCCCATCACATCCTCTCTGGTTAATTCTCAGCAGATGTTGTGATATATTAAGACCTTTTATTTCTACAATTAAGAAATGAGATTGGTGATGGCTACCTCCATTTTAGAAATGAAGAAACTGTTTCTTGGAGAGGTTCAGTGGCCATGTCTCAAGAATGAAGCTAGAAGCCCACTTGGGCATAGATGTGATTTGACTAGTCTTGATTATGTTTAAAGAAGGTCATTGGAAAAACCATACTTTAGTAGGCAAACTTTTTCTATAACAGGCCAGATATTGAAAGTTTATCTATTGTGAGCCCTGTGGTGTTTGTTATTACAACTCAGCTCCACATTTGTAGTAGGAAAGCAGCCATAAATTATTTTTAGATGGATGGGAATGGCTGGCCATCATTTGCTGACTCCTGTCCTAAAGGGATAAAACTTATTGGGAGAAGGTTATAATGCTGGTGTGTCTTGTCAGTAACAAACATGAATATAAGCTTTGCATCTGACATGTGGAAACTGCCAGGTAATTATTCAATAAACCAGATCTATAAACATGTTGGATTGAACAGATATAAGCAGACTTACTGTATTAGGGGAAAAAATGGTGAGGTGTTCAAACAGGGGCTCTTAAAACTACGTGGCTTGTTAGAACTTATGAACTTTGTCTTTACCAATAGGGGGCTGCAGGGTGTAGGTTAAGGTCAGACCTATTTGAAGACACAGGACTGATGGCATTTTAGCATGTTCTTCTAGGACATAAAGGAGATTTATGAGTTATGAAGGAACAATCAGTAAGCTGTAGCAATTAATTATAGTGGTGTGGACAAAAAGATCAAAATGTCACACCCTTTTGCGAAGGGGGGCAGTAGGTATTAAACTCAGGGTCCTAAAGTTTGAACTTGGATGATCAAAAGAAGAGTAGAATATCTGTCAGCAACAGGATGCCATAACTGAACTCCGGAATCTTGAGAAGAGAGAAGCAAGATTGGATTTTGCACATAATTGAAGATAGATTGCACTTTAGTTCTTCATCCCTTACTCCTTCCTGTCCTTTGATGTTTTTTTTTTTTTTTCACTGTAGTATTTTTCCTTCCCCTGAAGTGTCATTAAGGAATATTTCTGGTTAAGTCAATCACCAAGTCAACAATATTGTATTGGTGGTTGTGGCCAAACTTGACTATTGTGCACATTTAGGCAATAAGTACAGAGGTTTCCCCCCACCCTCCCCCCATGCTGGGAATTATCCAGGACCTAGCATATGCTAGGCAAATGTTCTACCCTGGAGTTACACCGCCAACCCCAAGGTGTTGGACTTTTATAGAAGGGACCCTTGCTTCCTGTGTTCTATTTGTTAAGTAACTGCCTTTCAACTGGTCACATCTAAAGCTCAAGTCAAGTCTTGTCTTGTAGATCAAATTCACATTATTCTTTGTGATTGCTTAAGAAGGAGATTCTGGACAAAGTTTTAGAACACTTGACTGTGTTATGATTGTCTAACATTCAAAATAGTGATTCTCAAGTTTATCAGGTAAGGGGCATGTGAAGACCAATGAGAATGCCTGCTACACCTTGTCATCCTCACACAGATAATTTACCATCCAGAGTAGAAATAAACCTGAGCCTTTGGGTTGGCAATAGTTTAGCCAAAGTTGTTCTGAGAAGATTCTGGAATGTAAGTTCTGGCATTCTGCTCCCTTTTATGTTTGGTATAAGTTCAGATCACAACTGAACACAGCCCTTTTTGATTGTTAAAAGCATGTCAACTATGGGCAAAGAAATTCAGTGTATATGCTGGAAAGGAGAACGTTTTAGGGCAAAGATATAAGACCATGAGTTATTTGAGGAAAGGAAATTTGGTGCGTTAGGGGGAAGTTCACGTTTAGCTCATTAGAAGAGAACAGAGGAGGTACAGGGAGTGAGGATGGGAGAGGAAGCAGCAAGGAAGGGTGACTGGGAGGCTGGAATGACAGCGGGAGGTTCAAATGGAAAGTTCTGTTGCAGTGCCTGTGCCTCTCTACGGGCCCAGTGGCAAAGAATAGAGCACTGTGGCCACTGACGGCACTGGGAATGCAGTCTCCAAAATCTGTGCTTAAAGGTCTCAAGGCATAGACTGTTATCAAAAGCAGCACATTCTTATATAAAGCAAAGCAATTTTATCCTCTGATATAATGTTTGAATTATATCAGAGGATATATTTGGCTATTTAGCACTGAGGGCTCTGGGGAAGCAACGAAAGCCAGTTAAACTGTCCCAAACATAATACCAACAAAGCTTGGAAGAATTTTTGTTACCTGAAATTCCTTTTAAGTTAGCTTTGAGTGGATCAAAAAGATCGGTGACTCCCCAGGCACTTAAAATGCTCTTTAAGTCGAATTGATTTTGGATCCTAAATCTAAAAAATAAGAACAAACCATCAACTTTCATTTGGAATTTCTACTCAGTGTGCTTCATACACACCACACGAAGTCCAAAGTTCTAACGTGGAAGTCAGGGTCCACCGGATTTCATTTCAGCCTTATCTTCGATTGCTCCTTCCTGTAAGCACTACCCCTTGACCAATCTGACTGCCCACGGCTGTTTCCCATCTGTGTGCTTTTGCTCAGGCTGTTCATTCCAAGTTCCCCCCTTTTCCCTTAATCACCTTCTAATGATTAAAGATTCCTCTACTGTTACCTTCTTCTCTTCTCTCCAGCTGTTTTGTGACCTTGGTTCATTCTTAAAGCTCCATTAACATTTGTTCTACTCTAATGTATAGAACAGTCTGCTTCCTATTACCATTCTTCATGATAAGCTACCCACAAAAAGAGGTTATCCATGTTCTTTTTTCTTTCTTAGTAATAATATTTAATGAGCACTTACATTGTTCTAGGCACTATGACAGAGCTTTATATGGATTATCTCATTTCATCTTCATATGACTCTTATTATTATCCTCACATTACAGATGGAAAAAGTGAGGCTGCCCAAGATGATCTAGCAAGGACGCGGGGGAACCTCAATTCAAAGCAAGACAGTGTGAGTGCAGAGTCCCAGCTCTGATCATCTGCACTTGCTACCTCCTATTTCAGGTGGCATCACACACATAGGTGCCGAAAAGAAGTGACTGACCAATTGACAATTAATAGAGCATCTCACTTACTGTGTTTATATTGGATAAGACATTTTCATGTTTGCTGTGTGTAGTGTGTGCCTTGATGCAGAGCAGAGAAACTTGGTTATCCTTTTGAGCAGGAAGTATCAGCACACCAACTTTACAATATTTCCCCAAGGGTAAGGCCTTAAAGATTTAGCCACTGAAGAATCCTTTCAATGGGATGCTGCTATTTTTCTTTGGAAAAGAATTTTGAAGTGGAATTTAGATTTTTTTTTCTATAAACCAGAAAGAATTTGCCAGAGAGTAAAAATACTGGACAAGACCATTTGATATCAAAGGTCTTCATTGCTATATGAGACAATGTGACTAGTTTTAAGCAAAAGTAGCAGACTTTCTCATCAAAGTGTCTTTTGGACTTTCAGAATAGTTTCAAAAAAAGGTATTGTGCTGCCTTCATGTATGCTGACATTTTTCAATGACCACCTCTTCTGAAATTTTCTGAAGTACTGAAACATACCTTTCAAGAATGCTAAATGCTGAAACATAGTGGTTAAGAGTATATGTTTGAGAATCTGGAGCCTGAGTTTGAATACTGGCCCAACCTCTTTCTAGGTGAGGGAGTAGTTATTTCACCTCTGATGCAAGTGACTTCACTTCTCTTTGCCTCAGTATCCTCTTCTATAAAATGAACATAAGAGGGGTTCTTGTTTGTAGGGTTGTGAAGGTTAAATGAAGTATCCTTGTCAAGTGTTCAGAACAATGCCCAACACAGCCTGTGTACTTATTGTTGCCATTGTGGTTTTATTGATGTTTCTCAAAAGATATTGAGAAAGAGTTATTGTCTCTTTGAAACCAAGTATAGTGATTAGGATGGGTGATAAAACTGAATTTTTAGTAAATTAAGAACAGCAGTGAAAGGGAGGTATGACTACAAAAGATTAAAGTGATTTTCTTATATGAGTACGGAGGTAGCTCAAGAAGAAATGCTATAAAAACAGCTTGAGTAAACAAAAAACAAAAAAAAATTGCCCTTTACCAAAACTAGAAAAAAAATATAAGAAAACTGTAAACCAATATCTCTTATGAATATAGATGTAAAGACCACACCAAAATACTAGCAAATTGAATCCATACCACATAAGTCGCATGATAATCAAATGAGTTTTTTCCCAGGAATTTAAGATGGGTTCAACATACGAAAATTAAGATAATGTACCAGAATCAGAATAAAGAACCAAGATCACATGATCCTCTCAACAAGTGCAGGAAAAAGCTTGATAAAATCCAACACCTTTTAATGATTAAAAGCAATCATCAAATACTCAACCAACTTGGGATATGAGGTAACTTCCTCAAATTGATGAGGGGCATCTACAAAAAAAAAAAAAAAAAACCCGCAACATCATAGTTTGTGGTGAAAGAATGAAATCTTTCCCTCTAAGTTCAGGAACAAGCAAAGGATGTCTACTCTCACCATTTATGTTTTACCTTGTACAGGACAATTACACAGGAAAAAGAAATAGAAGGCATCTAGAAAGGAGAAGTAAATCTATCTACTTTCACAAATGACTTGGTTTCGTGTATAGAAAGTCCCAAAGAAAACACACACACACACACACACACACACACGCGCGCGCGAATGATTAGAACTAATAAATGAATTTGTCAAAGTGGCAGGAGACAAAATAAAAATATAAAAATCTCTTGTGTTTCTGTACACTAGCAATGAACAACACGAATACGAAATTGGGAAAATCATTCAAGGTTGGTTCAACAAACAAATCAATAATATAATTCATAACACCAATAGACTTAAAGATAAGAATTACATGATTATCTTAATAGATGCAGGGAAAGTATTTGACAAAATATAGCATCCATTCATCTTCAAAACACTAGAAAAACTAGGGGTAGTAGAAACATACCTCAACATTGTAAAAGCTATATATGTTAAACTCCAGACCAACATCATTTTGAATGGAGAAAAATTGAAAGCCTTTCCTCTAAAAACTGGAACAAGACAAGGAGGCCTTCTTTCACAATTTCAATTCAACATAGTCCTTGAAACTAGTCAGAGTAATTAGGCAAAATAAAGAAATAAAAGGATACAAATAGGAAAAGAAGAGCTCAAGCAATCCCTATTTGCTGATGACAAGATTCTATATTAGAAGACCCAAAAAACTTCACTAGAAAACTTCTACAACTCATGAATGAATTCCAAAAAGTAGCAGGATATAAAATCAATACCCATAAATCAATTGTGTTCCTATACCTCAATGATGAATCATCTGAAAGAGAAATTAGGAAAACTATCCCATTCACTATAGCTTTAAAAGTAAACAAACAAAACACACACTTGGGAATTTTCAATCTAACAAAAGAGATGAAAGACCTCTACAATAAAAACTATAGAGCACTAAAGAAAACTGAAGAAGACCTTAGAAGATGGAAAGATCTCCCATATTCATGGATAGGATAATTATATTGTCAAAATGGCCATACTACCAAAAGTGCTTTATAGATTTAATGAAATTCCTATTAAAATTCCAATGACATTCTATGACATTCTTCATAGAAATAGGAAAAGCAGTTATGAAATTTATTTGGAAAACTAATAGGCCAAGAATAGCCAAAGAAATACTTAGTAAGAAAAGTGAAGCAGGAGGCATCACAATTCAGCTCTTAAATTATGCTACAGAGCTGTAGTAACAATTCCACTTACAATAGAATAAAAAGGAATAAAATACTTGGAAACAGATTCACCAATGTAAGTGTAAGATGTGTCCAGTGAAAACTACAAAACATTGCTGTAAGAAACAGACCTAAATGAAAGACATCCTGTATTGATGGCTTGAAACACTTATGTTATTAGAAAGCAATATTCTCCCAAAGCAATCTACAGATTCAACACAGTCCCTATCTAAATTTTACTGACCTTTTTGGAAGAAATTGATAAGCTTATCTTATAATTCATATGAAAGTGCAAGGGGCCAGGACTAGTTAAAAATCTTGAAAAAGAATACAGTTTAAGGACACATGCTTCCTGATTTCTAATTTTCCACAAAGCCACAGTAATCAAAACTGTATGGTACTGGCAAAGGTTCCAGATATTTATGCCAATAGAACAGAACTGAGAGTCCAGAAGTAAACTCATACATTTGACAATGAATTTTGACATTGGTACCAGGAAGATAGTCTTCAACAAACAGTATTGAGATAAGTGGGTAGCCATATGTAAGTGAATGATGTTAAACCTTTATATCAGATCATAAACAGTGACAGTTGAACATATAGGTTGAAGTGCACAGGTCCACTTATATTGGATTTTCTTTCTTTTCTGGAGATTTGTAATAATTTGAAACAAACCTCTCTCAGTCTAAACATATAGTCTAGAAATACCAAAAATATTATGAATATATATGGCACCATTTGTAATCCAGAGAAACATAAACAAATGCAAAGATGGAGCATAAATCGTAACTATGTAAAATCAACTGTAGTACATGTTGTTCTACTGTGATGCTTTTGTAACTGCCTCTTGTTACTGCAGTGAGCTCAAGTAGTATATTAGCTTACAATTCCACGTGACCCTGTTCATCTCTGCATGAGCAGGTCTTTTCTCCAGTACATTGTGTATCTCCATAAATAGTGATTGCTAGCACATTTTTCACCATAAATAATATACATATTATACAAAAAAATTTGTAAAACAACTTTACATCATTGTTAAGACTTCTGGTCAACAGCAAGCTATTAGTTGTTAAAGTTTTGAGTGAATCAAAAATTATATGCAGATTTTCTACTGCAAGGGGGTTGATTCCCCTAACTCCCATGTTGTTCAAGGGTCAAGTATATAATAATTAATTCAAAATGAATCAAAAGAGATAAGACTATAAAACTCTTAGGAAAAAAGCACAGGCATTATCTCTGTGACCTTGGTTAGGCAATGGTTTCTTAGCCATGGTATCAAAAGCACAAGAAAGAAAAGAAAAAAAAAATAGGTGAACTGAGCTTCATAAAAATGGACAACTTTTGTGCTTTAAAGATGAAGAAATTGAAAAGACAACACACAGAATGGGAGACAATATTTATAAAGCTTATATCTAATGAGGGTCTAATATCCAGAATAAATAAAACAACAACTCAACAACAAAGATAACCAATTTAAAAATGGGCAAAGAGTTAGGTGCAGTAGCACATGCCTGTAATCACTGTGGCCTGGGAGGCCGAGGCAAGAGGATCACAAGTTTATAGCCAGTCTCAGCAACTTAGGGAGGCCCTGAGCAACTTAGCAAGACTACATCTCCAAATCAAATATAAAAAAGCTGAGGATGAGGCAGCGATTAAGCACCCCAGGTTCAATCTTCATTTCTAAAAACAAATAAACAAAAATGGGAAAAGGATCTGAATAGATTTTTTTTTCTCAAAAAATGCATAAATGATCAACAAGTGAATAAAATATGTCATACATTACTAGTAATTAGTGAAGTACAAATAAAAGCCACAATGAGATACCACTTCATACCAACTAAGATGCTTTAATAAAAATTGATGGACAGTAGCAGATGTTGGTAAAAATGTAGAGAAACTGAAACCCACAGATAAGTCATGGGCATGTAAGATGGTGTAGCCACTTGGAAAACATCCTGGAAATTCCTCAAAATGGGTTTCCACATGACCCAGGAAATCTCTTCTTAGGTGTATATCCAAGACACTTAAAAATATATATCCACACAAAATACATGAATTTCATATACATGTATTTTTCAATCCAGAGAAACATAAACAAATGCAAAGATGTTATGGTTTGTTTGGCAAAAAGTGGAAACCAACAGAAAAGTGTCTTAGACCTCCAATATTTATGAATTAATGAATTTATAATTATAATTTAAAACATAATTTTGTAAATTTAAAACAAACTTAAACAAAATATAGTATCCATGCAACAGAATATTATTCAACTACAAAAGGACTGAAGTAGGGCTGGGGATATAGTTCAGTTGGCAGAGTGCCTTGTATGCACAAGGTCCTGGGTTTGATCCCCAGCACCAAAAAAAAAAAAGACTGAAGTACTGATTCATGCTATAAGGATGAACTTTAAACTTTACGTAAGTGAAAGACTTCATATACAAAGAACTACATGGAATGATCTAATTTACATGGAATGTCCAGAAGAGGCAAATCAATGGAGAAAAGTAGACTAGTGATGGCCTGGGCCCGGGAAGAGGGAACTGAGGAGCAATGGCTAATGGGTGTGGGGATTCTTTTTTAGGTGATGAAATGTTCCTGAATTAGATAGTAGCAATGGTGGTACAATTTTGTGAATATACTAAAAACCAGTGAATTGTGCATGTTGAGAGTGAATTTTAAGGGGATTAAAAAAAGAAGAAAACAACTTTAGAAAAGTATAGACCACCCATGATGATGATTAACAAGTCCTTGAAGGGGGCAAAACTTGTTTTGGATATATGAGGTCTGGTGGATTTTAAAGACTGTGGTGTAGATATGGTTTGGACGTGTTCCCCAAAGACTCATGTGCTAGAAGCTTGCCACAGTGTGATGGTGTTGAGATGGTGCAACCCTTAAGAGGTGGGGCCTAGTGGAAGGTAATGAAGTAACTGGGGCAAGATCCTTGAAAGGGATTAATATAGTATTTTGCAGTTAGTTACCAGGAGAATGTGTTGTTTAAAAAAAAAAAAAAAAGCAAGCCTGGTCACCAAATCTCTCTACCATCCTGTTCTTCCATTGATCTCTCCCTCTTGCATGGACTCCTGCCATGATGCCATCTGCCATATTGAGATGTAGCCAGAAGGCCCTCACCAGAGCTATGCTGATGCCAGCACTATGTTCTTGGAACTCCAGAACTGGAACTAAATAAACCTCTTTCCTTTATAAAGTGCCCAGCCTCATGTATTTTTTCAAGCCAATAGAAAACAGACTAACACATTATCAACTTCCTACTATGTTGACCTAATCACCAAATGTTTTATTTATCAAATGTGTATTTGGTATTATTAGTCTTTGTGGATTACATGGTCATGGATGTACATGATCCTTAAATACTCATTCTTAGTTTTCTGGTTATTTCTTTAATATGATAATCATTCCTAAGAAAGACTAATGGTCCCTATGCATTTTATTCTATTTCTTTATAAGTAAATGGTTACTTTGGAAGCTAGACATCATAATTCATCCAGAATCTACTAATGCACTGCTTGGTTATGTTTAACCCCAAAACACATTCATTGTCACACAATTTTTGCTTTGATCCCAACAGTGTATAAAATTTTTTGCTCTTGTGCAGTGAAAACTGCATGCTGACTGCAGAGCAGGCTATACTAAATGATGAATGAATGATTTGAGGGAACTAAAGGTAATTAGTTGTTCAAAAGTTGACTTTGGGTCTACTGTGGTCCATAGTTTATATCTAAACCTAGACTTAAAACAGTTTTAATTTATTTTCAGTTTATTCCCTAAAGGCATTAAAGCTAAATTAAAAAAAAAATTATCTAGTTTTGCTTGTGAAATGTTCTTATTTTCCTAAAAACGTCTACCCTTCTTGAGTAAGAGGCTTGATAGACTTAGGGAGATCTTAAAAACTTTTATCAGAATGAAATCAAGTTATTAACTAACAGTTGGTTCACTAAGATCCCTGCCTTCTCCCCCTCCCTCCCCTGACCTCCAATGTTTTTCAGGATCCTTGCTGGAACATTTGGGACTCCTAAAGCAGAATTGGAAGACAATGGAGATTTGGGGCACATTTTTTTCAAGGGAGCGGCACTGGGCTTCTTCCCCTGTCCTGACAACCGGTTGTGGCATGAAGCTGGAGGCAGAGTATCTGGTCTTGGGAAGACCCCCAGGAAGTAAGTTCACTTCAGTCTGTGCCATGAGCAGTGATTCTGAAATGGACTCTCCCCATGGTCTCCTCCCAGGGTCTTGCAGAATCCTGGAACTGGCCTGGGGATTTAGCAGGTCAGCAATTACCTGTGTCAGAGGAGCCAGGGGAACCAAACAGTGCCAACCCTGGGAAAAGACTGGAGAGTTCTCAATGGAGCTGCACTTTTCCCTGGGGCCCCCTGCTTACATCAGCTGCTTCAGGAAGAGGCAGCCAACTTTATCCTAAGACTGTGGTGAAACCCTGCAGCAGGCTGCTTTTTCTCTACATTTAACAGCAACAGCCTCTTCCTCTCTTCACTGAGCTTCTCTCAGATATAACAGGAAGATAGGGTCTGCTTCTGCTCCACGCCCCAGAGATCTGTTGAAATGTCCAGGCTTGGGGCTTTGGTAGTCTGAATATTTGGTTTTAAGAGACAGACTATATCTTAGAGTTCAGTTCACCTTCTGCCCTGGACTGTGCCTCATCCCACTTTAGATCTTGGCCCTAACTCACTGGGTCTCTGTATGTTTTTGTTCCAGCACACAGGCTTATTTTTAACTGCTCAGGGAAGAACTGCCAAGGCCACTGCCCTTGCCTGCTGAGAGCCCTGGCTGTGGAGTGAAAGCTAGGCCACCAGTGGATGGAGCACGACATCACACATTACAAAGGAGGCCCTGGACAGCGACGCTTTCTTATTGCTGGTCTACAAATCTATTATAAATTCTCTCTCATCTCAACTGCACCAGAGAAGCTCAACATTTAAAGAAATCTTTGGTGGGATCCCTTCATAAAATAATGAGTCTTGTTAACACTGTGCTTTGGAAAAGCAAAATCTAGTGCTATTATTTCACTTGGAAATTTGTATGTGTACTTATTAGGGTTTCTTAAGGGAGGGATTGATTCCCTCTATTTAGGACCAATAAGAACCTTCCACACAGAGACTTCAAGTCTCACATTTTTATGCCTTAATTTGGTTTCTGATTAGAATTGTATTTGGTTAGTTTCATAAGCCATTTTACCTCTTTGGTTTTGGGAAAATGATAGTTGTATTACTCTTTAAGATGTGGTAAGATTTGGGGCACATTCTTTCAAGGGAGCAACACTGAGCTTCCTCTGCTGTCTCAGAAATTGGTTAAGGCATGAAGCTGGAGCAGGGGTTGTGGGAGCATGATTTCAGAAAAGAGTGCTGGGTCAGGTGGCAGGGTGGCAGCAAACACAAATGACCTGCTAGGAAGACCCAGTGAGAACAAAAGTGTCTTGGGGCAGACCCTGGGAAGTAAGTTCATTTTGGTATGTGCCACGAACTGGTCAGTAGTGTCTCTGAAATGGACTCAAATTCTAGGGTAATTTCCCATTGTCCTAAGCTCTGGAGGAGCATTAAACAAGCCAGCCCAGTGGGTAAAGAGAGATGCTTGAATCAGACCACTTGGCTCCAAATCTGGGCCCTGTGGACGGCTGTAAAGTGGATGGAGTCACTTACCTGGGGAGGAACACGTCCATCCTAGTTCTTTTCAGCCTGGTGGTCCAGAGGTGGATGACTCTGGCTGTGAGGTGTGGTTCAATGTAGCCCAAGGGGGCACCTCTGTCGCGGGGCAGCACGAGGAATAGACTTGCTGTGCTTCCCAGGTAAGGTAGCTCCAGGACCCCCACCTGATGGCCTGCAGTGTCCTGGAACTGGCCTGGGGATTCAGTGGATAACGAATTAGCTCTGTCCTAGGAGCCAGGGGGACCAAATAGTGCCACACCATTGGAAGAGGCAGGTTTACAGGACTGTAAATAATAAAATAGAAGATCTTCTTGCTCTCAGGGAGCAGCATGAGGCTGACAACTGTTGAGTGACGTGGTCCCTTCACTGATCCTAAGGCACAAGGGCCCAAGTCATAAGGCCTGCAGTGGCTGGGCTGGATGATGATGATGGCATAGGGTAGAACCATATACCCTGACTTAAAGGGGAAGCCCATTCAATCCTGGCCTGGGGACCCAGGCCTTTTGTGCCAGATCTCCCTATCTTTCAATTAAAACTCTTAAGTCCAAATTTCCTGTGAGATTTCCCAACCTTTAAAGTACGACACAGACCAAAATAAAAACCATGAGTCCAGTCTAGATTTGACCTGGAGACGGACCAATTGTAACCTGTGAACTAAACAAACAGGTCTCAGGAAGGGCAGCTGGGAGCCCATGGACAATGAATGTGGCTGGCTGAGGACAAGTCTAGGCTGCCAAGCAGAGCATAATTTCAAAAAAGTATGATGGGTCAGGTGGCAAGTGGCAGCAGACACAGATGACCTGGCAGGAAGACCCAGCAAGAGTTGCTAGTGAACAACCAACCAGTGACTGGGCCCAGTGACAAGAAAAAGATAGTGAGTCATGTAGGCAATCCAGGGGGCAGCGAGCCTCAGGTGGACCCCAGCCCAGATCCCTTCCTTGGGAGGATTTCAAGACCAAGGCCTTGGCATGTGTCAGGAAACAGCAGAGTTGGCTGCCGGTGAAGGCAGAATCTTAGGCTCAGTAGGAAGAGACGGGGACACAGTTCCTAGTGCATATTTCAGCTATTCTGTGGTTACTTATTCACTGTCCTTTGTGTGCCAGCCACCATGCTCTGCACCCTGGGTGTGCTGGGAAGAACAAAAGCCACCCAGAGCCTGCCTGTCATCACACAGCCAACAGTCAAAACACCCAGCACGGTGACAATAGCAATGATAAAATGATAAAAATAAAAACCATAATAAATTGTTCTTGCACATTTGTTTATCCAGTAGACATCCTTCTCCTCTTACTTGACCTCCACAAGCAATTATTGGTTGATTAAACAGATAAGTGCCTTTACTGAGCACTCACATGTGCCTGGATGGAAACAAAGCAGGACTACTTGCTAGCTTTCTAAATGCCAAAGTTCCAAAGATGCTGATTGAAATCTCACTGGCTTTTCCCTGAATAAGAACATAATGAGACTCAGAGGCTGCAGGAGGCTAAGTCTTCAGCAAGATTGAGGCTTGAGACATGGCTTCGGAGAAGTGTGTAGCAAGAAGTGGGGCCTGTTCTCCCCTGCGGTGCAGGGCCTGCTGAGTCCACCACCCACAGCAGGCTGCTGGGATGGGGACCTCCAGGCATGCACCAGCATTGGGCAAATCCAGCCAGCCGCACCTCTATCTCACCAAGATAAGTGACCATCAGGCAGGTGGGTACACAGAACCATGGCATTTCAGGAGCAGTGGCTGCCAAGCAGAGCCTCCTCTGGGAGGCTTTGGAGAGCATTTTAGTCTCAATCTTCCTCCTTGTTCAGCACCCATTTTATCAGAGTTCCTGCCAGGGCAGGCGGTTCAGTTCAAACATTTTTGATTTCACATTAACTCTATTCTTAGTAAGTGCAGAAGGAAATGTCAAGCATGAAATTGGGTTGTGCTCCACATCTGTGTCCACACTGTCTTGTCAGCACACACAGTACACAGACCCCTTTCTCTAAGTCTTTTGCCACCTGGGCTTTCCTTTGGCCAAAGCCGTGGCCCTGACAATGGACTCACATGGAGACACATCTCAATCCTGATCCTTTGGGAGCAGAGGCCTGACCTTCCCTCTCCTGCCCACAGGGCCCCGGGATTCCTCCTACTTCAGACAGCTTAGGGGAAGGGGCTTACCATAGTTGACCTCAGCCATTTGGTGCATCATGGGGACCTGGAAGATGTGGCCACGAGCACAGGTGAAAGGCAGGGGCTGTGAATTGGTGGAGGAGAATCTCCTCCTCCACGTGCTTTGGAAGGTCATGGTGCTCACCAGTGCGAGCTGAGCAGATGCTGCGTTGATCTGCTCCCACGGCAGGCCACCTGGGCTCTTACCTGTAAGCAGGTAAGATTGAACTGAACACAATATTATGTGTAGAGAAGGAGTGCAGAGTTAAAACAAACAAACAAGATCTTTTTTGATGTAGTATTCTCCATCTCTCTCTCCCCCCTCATGTTTCCCAGTGTCTTTTTGGTTTACTAAAAATGTTTTAATTCCCTGTCTCAGCTGCTCATACTGCCAGGGGATCTGAGGTCACATTAGCTGCTCTCAGCTTGGGTGGTGGGAATAGAAAGTGAGAACTCAGAAGTGAGTCTGAGTCCCTGACACCTGCCCATGGGCTCTGGGGGTGAGTGAGGCATTTCCAAAGATGGGCTGCAGCCTACTTGTTCATATCCATTAATGGTGAAATATGTACACACTTCTAAAGAGCTGCTGCTGAAGACCATGCCTTTGTTCTTCCCTGAGCATTTTGGGGGGCTCCCTCTTGTTCTGTCTAAAGCCATTCTTTTTCTAGACAGACCCCTGAGGAACTAGGTGTAGTGTCAGGGAGGTGCCACACTGTGTCACCCCTAGATCTCCACTGACCATTGCTGAGCTGTATCCCCTTCTGAGACAGCAATGTCCAGAGAATTGTCTCTGGAGGGCTGAAGTTAAAATTTCATGCATTACCAGAAAGAGGACAGGCAGACTACCCCTACAGGGACAGTTTTTTTGTCCTGGCCCTTTATTTGTTTAATAAACATATTCTTTGCACTGGGCTTTGTTCTAAATATTGGAACAAATTCTCACTGACTCATCCCTGTTATTCCTTACTTCACAGATCTTGGAGAAGTTGGCCAATGCCATATATTTGTGATGGGCAAAGCCACCATCCTCCAGTTACCTGAGAAACCTTGAATTCAGACTAGATGGGCCTGGCTTCAGGCTCTGCCCTTGGGATGGTTGCACTAATGGCCACCCTTTCTTCGAGGACAAATTTGTCCAGGAATTGAGAAAGCAGCTAGTGTGGCTTTTGCAGGGGGCAAGGGTGGGGGTGTCCTGGCAGCACAAGGAGGTGAGAGGGAATTAAACCTTTTAAAGTAAATTGACCAGATGTCATGAAACATTGGAGAAAATTGAGGAAGAATTGCAAATACATCAGTTCAATGAGTATATATTCTATCACTTCCTATTCTATTTAAAAAAAATTTTTGTAGTTATAGATGGACAGAATACCTTTACTTTATTTGTTTATTTTTATGAGGCGTTGAGGATCGAACCCAGTGCCTCACACATACTAGGCAAGTGCTCTGCCACTGAGCTACAGCCCCAGTCCCCTATTCTTTTTAAACAACTTTGGGTATTGAACGTTCTCTACATTTCTGGGTAACATGAGTAATTGCCAAGGATGCTAGAGTCCCACACTCTGTGTTAGAATCCTGGCTTTGTGGACCCTGGGCAGACAGGGGGCTCCAGCCTCAGTGCCTCAATTCCTCCATTTTTAAAATGGTAACAGTACTACCACCTCCCTCCTAGGACTGAAGTGAAACTAAACTCAGATAATGAATTTCCTTCTGTCTTTGTTTTCTTTTTTTGGTACTAGGGATTGAACTCAGGGGCACCACACCACTGAACCCCATCTTCAGCCCTATTTTGTATTTTGTTTAGAGTCAGGGTCTCACTGAGTTGTTTAGTGTCTCGCTATTGCTGAGGCTGGCTTTGAACTCAGGGTCCTCCTGTCTCAGCCTCCTAAATTACTGGGATTACAGGCGTGAGCCACAGCGCGCAGCTGAGAAAATGAATTTGGAACAGTGCTAAATAAATAAATTAAGTGCTCAGTAAATATTAATGATTTTCAATAAAAATTACAATGGCAGGGTGGCAGGTGCCAGACCTCTCTGAATCATCCCTCATTGCTGGACAGTTAGGTTATAAATATATTTTTCTTCAATGAAACTGAGCTAAACATCTTATTGCATACAACTTTTTATTCTTTTGAATTATTTCCATATCCTAAATTCCCAAGAAACAATTTTTCAGCCCCTCTGACATTTTATTCTCACAGGGGGTTAACTGTAGATGAGCACAGAGCTCAGTGGAAACTTACCCTGCGGAACAATGACATGGGAAAAGCCTATAAGGTGTGTCAGAGGTAGAGACTCTGGGGAACACTTTTCTGAGGAACATGTGTATTCATGTGTGTGTGTGTGTGTGTGTGTGTGTGCATGTGGTGGGGGGTGAGTGGGGTGGGGACAGGGACAAAGTCAGCTTCAGTTGTTTCACAGAGCATGTCATTCAAGGGTAGGATCTCCCAAGAAGACAAACTTGCGCTGCAGTGGAGCGCAGACCACGCACCCACCACCATGGCTTCTGACAAGTGTTGGGTGATACTCTCTCTGTCTTTGCAGCCCTCACTTTAGCCTTGTGAAGGAGGATGGTTTTCTTTTACCTGTGACTGGTCTGGATGCCCCTTCCTTGGCCCAGATGGTAGTGCTGTTGGGCTCTCTGAAGTCAGCCGACTGCAGGCTGCTGTTGGCCCACCAGGAGACCTGCTCCACAAAGCAGGAGGACAGTGGCATTCCAGCTTGCACAAAAAGGGTGCAGGCCAGCTCCATCTCGGTGACGTGACTGGAGTTGCGCAGTGTGGCATAAACAGCGTGCAAGAAATCTCTCACCTTAGGGTCTGTGCAAAAGAAGTAAGGATAAGCAGTCAATGGGGACTGTGAGGAAGAAGTCAGCACAATGTCCGTCTGCGTGTTGCATGGAAACGGGACCTCAGCAACGCACTCTTATTTCATAAGATGTATCCCTATGCATAGTCAATTTAGAAAAGTCAGAGCTAAGCCCACTCAGGAATCAGCCTAGCTGGCTGGGAAGAAACCCTGCTGGAGACACGGCTCAGTGGTAGAGCACTTGCCTAGTAGGCATGAAGCCTGGCTTTGATTCCTAGCCAAAAAAAAAAAGTAGAAGTTGGGAACAAGCCATGCTAGATCTGAAGGAATCCAGCTGCAGTAGGGCACAGGGGTGCATGCCTGTAATCCCACTGACTTAGGAGGATGGCAAGTTCAACGCCAGCCTCATCAACTTAGAGATACCCTATCTCAAAATGAAAAATAGAAAGGACTGGAGATGTGACTCAGTGGTAGAGCATCCCTGGGATCAATACCCAGAAAAAAAAAAAAAAGAAAGAAAAAGAAAAAGAAATCTGGCTCCAATGAAGTCAACTAAGATAAGGAGCTGTTTTTTCCTAAGATCCTGATTCAGGACTGTGGACAAGTGCTGGACTAGAGTGTCTAGAGCTGGGATAATGGAGGTCCAAAGTGCAGGGTGAAGGGCTTTCAAATATTTGCAAAGTCAAGAGCTTTATATGTAATGTCACAAGTAACAGTGATGGGCAGTGGCCAGGATGTTGTGTTGTCAAGATACCTTTCCTGGGGCCTTATATGACAGCATGTCATAAACCCAAGCAGCCTCTTTTAGAACTATGCTTTCAATTTGAAAAATACAGAGGAAAGGTAAGAACATTTCCCATCCCCCATCTCCCTACAACTCAGCAGAAGGCTCGTATTATTGCATCAGTGAGAAGCTGCAAGATTGTTGAGGAAATAACCATGGAGAGAGTGAGTAACGAGCTTCCACCTCCTTGGATGGCAGCTAGATTTCTATTTCTACACTATTTACACGGGAGATTGCTGCCTTGTCTCCATAATCCATGGTAGATTTTATTTTCATGCTACTATTTACAAGCTGCAGCTTCTAGACTCCCAAGACATCCCATAAGCTGGTATTCTGGGGGTGAAGCTCTGTAGGCTGCCTGCAGGATACCTCCTTCCTGTTCTCCTCTGTGCCTCACCTCATTCTCAGGAACATCTCTGTAGCTGTCCCCAAATCCTCCCTGCAAGACATAATGCCCTGCCATGTCACACACTGAGATGCACCTCTCACTCAGCTTGGGGTCTGTCCACTCTGACATCTTTCAGGTTGCAGAGGCCAAACCAGGAGGCAGCAGAAGACCTCTAAATAGCCTGGCTCACATCCTTTGGGAGGGAGCACAGTACCCAGAATTCCCCCTGGTTATGGCCCCCTGGCTGCCAACTATAGTAGCAGACAGATGTTATTCATCTACACATCACTCACTACTTCTTAGAATCTTAGAAACTGCTTCTTAGAATCCACAACTCTAAAAAGCTGACTTGATCACATGAATTTCAGCCTAACTTGAGTTCTTGCATTGTATCATAGTGAGAAAAGAAATGAAAGTCCTTACAGTCAGATTTTACCTTAGCCAGGGAGGTCATCTGTATTTCTGGGATCACATCTCTGCAGAATGTTGGCTGTCTGCAGAGGAGACATTTCACTAGTTTGTAGTGTAGAGTGACCTTAGGGGTGATCCTGAGCTTTTTCTCTGTCCCCCTACCTTCTCTGGGCCAGGAACCAGTGTTCTTACAAATGAACAGAGCAGAGTAAACTGGCTTGCGGTTGATTTTAGCATGAAGTCTGATCTCCATCTGAGCCGGCCTGTCCTTGCCCATTTGCACACAGGAATACGCCTTGCCAGAAATGAAAACTACTCTAGGCTGACAGTGTCCACAGACAGTGTGCTAGTGCTCTGCGTTCCTGATCACATTCAGTTCTTCCAACAGCCCTGTGAATGAATGCCTATTGTGATCCCCATTTATAGATGAGGGAGTTGAGCCAGAGAAGTCCATTCTCTGGCTCAGTTTCATCAAAGTGGTCAATGTCCTGTTACCCACAGGGCAAGGGGCCAGTGGGCTGTGGACCCTCTGCTTGGGTGGCTTTGTTCTCTTGGGGATGAAGGTGGGCTGTGGAGCAAGTAGCCTCCTGTTTTGCTGTATTTGCTGTATTCCAGATCCTTTTCTGTGGTGGATCAGACGTAACTGATGTGAGAGTGAGAACCCGCTTCTCCCACAGCCCTTGAAGCAGAATCCTGTCGCTGGCTTTCTCTCTGTCTTCCATCTCTGAAATAGAAAGCTGCCTTTCTTGCTGCAAGAGGGGACATAATCAGGTAGTTCTAAGAAAATGCTGAGGGAGGGAAGGAAGACAAAGAAAAGAAAGCCACACAGGCTGTGGGACACCAGGGGTAGAGTGAAGGAGGTGTGAAGGGCTTGAGGAGAGGGTCCCTGGGACGAGTACAGAGTGATGGAAAGTACCTGAAGAAAGTAAAAAATTCTGCTGCAAAACAGTCTTTCAGCTCATTTGAGAGACTGGCATGGAAAGTACCTTCCTTTTTAAAATAAATCTGCTGCATTAACCTTCTTAATTATGACACTGAATCTGGTGGGTCTTGACTTTGTAAGGTTAAGGTGTATAAAATTCTCAAAGTGCAAGAACTGCCTTTTGGATGCTAATATTTTAATTGCCAGAGAAGGAAAAGAGGGTTTTTAGAGAGCTTTCCAGTGAGTTGGGTTGGGCTGAGAGGATCATGATGATGCTTTGTCGAGAAACAGAGAAGGCAGGGTGCTTATATATTTATGCAACTTCCCCATGGCTTAGAGTAGAGCTGAGGAGTTATGAAAAGAACATAAGATTTGGAGTCAGAAAATATGGCATTTGAATTCTGGCTCTGGCACTTGCCCATTAGGTGAGCTGAGTTTTGCAAGTCATTCACTCGTATTTGTAAAAAAGGAATATGAATAGAGGCTTAATATTATATATGGTTTCTGTGAGGATCAAATGACATCATGATGATAAAAGTAACTCCATATGCATCATGAAACAGAATTCTTTCCAGGGACAGATCACCTTTCATCTCTGAGGCCTCTCTGTGTTTCTAGTCCTGTTCTTGTTCTTAATAGAAAACACTGAAGTGTTCTTTATTAATCTCTCTGGACAAGGAAGATCCCTAGAAGTCGGGACTCTGGGAAATGGCGTGCTTCACGGAGTGAAAACAAGGTGCTCTTTGGAGAAATCTCTGGGGCCTGTTCTGAATCTCACACTGTGCTTCAAGGCTCAGAGGCAGGAACCCTGGCAAAGCTCCTGGTGGTCACACAGCGTCCGGATACACAGGAAGGGGACAACACTGGTGTGTCACACCGCAGACTTGGATAGTTCTTTCTGTTGATTAAAAAGGCACCGTACCCCTGGCCCTGGGCATGTTTTGCTGCGGATTTTATACTGTGCTATTGGTCTTAAAGAAAAGACTGGGTGGGGGCAGGTAGTGGGCATTGGTGTTAGTTTTAAGTAGTACACACATGATTTTCAGAGCTATCCTGATGCAAACCAAAGCATAGAGATAGTCTATTAACCAGAACTCTGAAAATGGCACATTCTTGTTCACAACTGTTATAGCTCCATAAGATAAATAAAGCAGTTTATGATTAAGAAAATTAAGTGGAATTATTATTATTATTACTATTATTATTTAGTTGGGTGGGGTACTGGGGATTAAACCCAGGAGAGCTTTACCACTGAGCCACATCCCCAGCCCATTTTATTTTTTATTTAGAGACAGGGTCTCACTAAGTTGCTTAGAGCCTCGCTAAATTGCTGTAATCCTCCTGCCTCAGCTTCCCGAGCTGCTGGGATTACAAGCGTGTGCCACCATGCCCAGCAAATGGGGTCATTGTTCCACGGAGTTTGACTATTGCGCATTCTTGACATTTGGTGATTGTTGAATGAGCTGAAAGGACACCCTGATCATCCTCACATCTGGTTACCAGGTACTGACACTGTACCCAACAACCAGAGCCAATCACACTGTTTCCTTTCTCTGCAGGTTGCAGCAATTGCAACTGTCTTTCCCCCAATCCTGACTTCAGTGAGGCTCTATTTTAAGACTAAAATGCCTGCCCTATCTTTCACATTCCTCGTTATTTTTCATAACCCAGCTCAGATGTCTCGTCTTCTGGGGAGCCTTCAGATCTGCCAGGGGAATAAATCATTCCCTTCCCTGTACTAACTTATCTCCCACAAATGCACCATGGTGCAGGGTTAGAGTGTATTGCTACTCTGAGCCTGAGCTGCCTGTGTTCAGGGTTTTCTGTACACATCTGGATGCCAAGACCCTCATGCTGTACCAGTACATGCAGTTGGTGCCCCACAGCCCTGGGTGAATTGCCTTGCACCAGATCTAATGGGGTTGAAGAATAAGTCTGTGGATCTGTGCACTGCTGGGATATACTTATTGAGAACAATTAAGTTCAATAAACTATTTTCTGCTTCAGTATCCCCAGAGAGAACCCACATTTGTCTGTGGCCAGCATGGTCACCATCATTGTCTTGGAGCTTCGGAAGCTCAGTTGGAGCCTTAGGGCCTGACATGTTGGGTACTAACCTCTACTTGCTAACTCAGAATTCTATTTCAACGGAAGCTCTCACCAGGCTGTGTTGGTATTGGCTCTTGTGCTTTCTGGCAAATCAGTTTATACAAAGCTTGTCCCATCCTTCTTATTAAGATCTTATTCTGAGATAAAGAAGAAAAAGCCCGTGTGTGCTTAGCATGGAGATGGTGAGTGGGCATTGAGCTGGTCCCTGAGAAAAGTTCAGCTGAGGCTGAGCTACATTCAAGAAACTTGCTGCTGTTGGCAGAGATGCTCTAAGATACAGAATTCATAAAAATAAGCCAGCAGATTGAACACTGGCCAGAAGTCACAGATTCATGAAAAACATGGGCTTTGGAGCCAGAGAATCTGGGCTTGAATCCAACTCTGCCCCTTACTGGCTGTGTGACCTCTAGCAAGTTGCTTCCACTCTCTGTGCCTAGTTGCTCATTTCCAAAATAAGGATGATAATAAAGTCACCAACCTCCATGGGATTGTTGTGGTAATTATATGTTTATAAGGTGCTTGCAACTCGGTCTGGCACTATAAAAGACCGTGTGAAACGAAACCAAATTATTACTGAGGAACATGATGCTAGAAGTGAGCTTTAAAATTCAAGGGTAACCGCCAATCCAAAGTCTGAATGCCTTCTGTTGCCTTCCTGCCCAGTGGTCATCTTTCTGCATGAGAGCACCACTGGGGGCTGAGCTCCTGCCTCCCTACCCCCTACCACCTGAGCAGTGAGCGAGAATGAGAAGAGTAGGCATGAGGAGTGAGAGGGTGAAGAAGCCTGCACGTGGGGGCCTCTTACCGTGCACGGTGTACCCCAGAGCGCCTGCCAGCTGTTGGCCAGTGTTCCCCTGGGCTCCAAACTGCAGGATCTCCAGCGGGAGGGACACGCCGGTGGGAGAGATGACAAAGTTTGTGCCGTTTCTACCTGCTGCTGCGCTCCGGTAGAGGCGAAGTGCAAACTCAGTCTTTAGCATCAGCAGACTTTGGGGGAAGTGGCTGTGCCCTCCAGGGAAGCAGAAGTGAAGGAGGAAGAGGGTGATGTGCAGGAGAGGCGACATGGAGACTGCTACTGCTGCTGCTGCTGCAGGTCCTATAATTCAGAGGGCAGAGAAGCGGATGCGGAGGGATGCTGGTGGTGCTGCCAGCGCATCCCACAGAGGACGCCACTGCCCCGCTCTGATTGCTCGGTATTTAGTGGCTGGAAAAGGCCAGAACAGGGAGGCCTTCATCCAGCTGCTCTGGTCCCCCCGCTCACAGTCCCACCTGCCCCGGTGGCTTTACTGCACATTTTGTGTTAGCATTGGGAATATCCACACTTGCTGGGATGCTTTACAAAACCAAACCAAGGGTTGGAAGACCTGCTTCTGTCTTTGGCAAGACCTGAAGCAAACCATTACGTTGGGAAAAGAAATGTAAGAAGAACATCCTACTCTTTTCTTTTGTATTTAGCCAACTTATAGCTGTGCCATGTTTATCACAAATATTATGACGACTAATCATTATCATCATCATCATCATCGTCTACCATGCTAAAAAGGACTTTGTACATTCTCAATTGTTCCAAAAATCTTACTTGGTAGCTGTTATCAGATTTCATCTCCAGGGATAGTGATTAAGGTTTAGAGAGCCCAGTGACTCATGTACATGGGGAAAGCAACAGGGCTATAACTTAAATCCTGTGCATTATACATGTGCATTAAGATACTGATATATGAGTTAATTGTGAACTAGAATGCCAGAATTCTTGTGATGTGAATCATTCTCATAAAAAAGAACACTTTCACAGAGAAGAGAATTAAACAAAGTAAACCTACGCCAGAACTGTACCCTCCCAGGGAAGGCAGAACATCCACAGGCTAGAAGTTCATGCCAGAAGAGCAAAGAAATGTTTTCAATGGCTATGCCACATGTCCAGCCAGCAGCAATTTTGGCTAAGTGGTCTAACTCTGAAATCATGTGGAACTTCCTGTAGAAGTTTGCAAGCAAGACTCTCAGTGTCCACATTAGATAATGACCCAAGGCAGAAAGCCTGTCTCTCGTTCTTCAGCTCTTTCTCCAGGTAGCCAAGTGCAAATGCAGCACCAGATAGATGTCTTTGGTACCACAGAAGTGGGGATGTGCGTGTGTGTGCGCACGTCTGGGGGTAGAGGGTCCCAGCCCAGGGTCATTTGTGAAAGCTCAAGCCCCACTTCACAAGCCTTGCAGCTCCTATAACCTCCCACAGGAACACGCAGCTCCCAGCAAGTGGACCTGGACCTCGATGTCCCGGGCTCCCCATGACCCAAGCCCCGCCATAGTTCATCTGGGAGGAGTTGCTTACTCACGCACTCTTGGACCAAAGGGTTGCACTTCCTTGGTTGGTTCTGTTCTTGTGGGTCTCCAGCGTTAATGTGCTCCCTTTTAAAAAAGTGGAGCAGAATCTGCTTTGAATCACAAGACAGCACAGGGAGGAAGCTGGCGACGGCCGTCTCTGCCGGCGATGTCTCTACCACTCGGTCCAAATTCCTAGAGGCTGGAGGTACTGTAGGGAGCCAGGAGAAGCAGCCCAACCCTGGCAGCAAAGCCCAGATCGGGAACAGAGTGGGACCCTGGGGACAGAGCCAGCCACACCCGTCAAGCCTTCTTAGGCTTGTGACCTGGTTGTACCAGCAAGGAACCCCTCATCCAGCCCTTTGTCACTTTGAGGAATTCCACTGATAACTCTGTAGGGCTTTTGCTGGGTACCAGGTACTTAGTGCTTCTCCCCCTCCTCATGTGAAGAGAACAATAATTCAGTCTTTGGGCCTGACCTGAAACTTTGAGCAAATGGAATTCTGCAATAGACCAGGAAAACAAAGCAAGGTACAGCACACTCAGTTGGGAGCAGGATGTTTTGCCTTGTTTATTACTAATCAAAGGGAGTGCACTCATTTATGTATAAAAAGCAATATTTACAATCTTCTCAGATACAACAGCTAAAAAGCACAATGAATTCATTTGAGAGAATAGGACCTTATTGTCAGTGAATAAATGCACATTTTTGGAAAGTATGGAATTCTGCAATAGAGAAGGAGAACAAAATTTCTGTCAAAAGTTGTTCCTGTGACTGATCCAGAATGACTTACATTTCTATTAAGGCCTTAGGCATTGCTTTCTGTTCAAAATAGAATGTGAATTATATGTTGTGAAAGATTAAAGAAAAGAAGAAAGGGATTGAAAACAAAAGCAATTTTTAGTAATTATCTCTCAGGCATCTGTTAGTGTTAAAATGAAAAGTTAAAGGACTATTTTTAACCTAACTACCTATTTCCCTATAATCAGTGGGTAATTCATTATTTATTTATTTATTTATTTCCAGTACTAGGGGTTGAACACAGGGATACTCTACCACTGAGCTACATCCCAGCCCTTTTTCTTTGGAGACAGGGGCTCACTAAGTTGCCCAGACTGGCCTTGAACTTCTTGTGAGCCTTCTGCCTCAGCCTCTCAAGTTGTTGGGATTACAGGCATGGGCCAGCCACTGAGCTCCGCAGGGTTTTCTATTAAAGCAGAGTTGTATTGCTGAGGTCCATGCCTGGGATAAATTATAGGTCTTAATAATGTTATAGTTCTGTAATTGTTTTACACGAAATCTTCCCAAATCCTTAATTTGGATTTAATTTCATTATTGTATGCCTTGGACTTTAAACAATAGTGTGCCAGGGGAATAAATATGTTTAACTTATTTTATAACATCCAGGGAAGGCATATCATCCACCCATCCATCCATCCATTCATGCAACTGGTCACCTGATCCCCTGCTAGGTGCCAAAGCTCTGGACTGGGTCCTGGGGATATGACTGTGAACCAGCATCCTGAACTCAAGTCTTCCAGGACCTGAGTCTTGCTCACTGAGTACTTATTTAGAAATGGTGACAAGAAAAGCCATAGTAATTGTGAGGGCTGTCTCACAACATCGTGGAATCCACATGGCTGGAATGATTTGAGCAGAGGCTTGGTTCACTATTGGTCAGTGGTACAGTGGAGAGGAACTTGTAAAACAACTTCTCAAATTGAGACTTTATGAACATTCTTTTCCCAACTTTAGAATGTGCCATTCTAAATTGCTTTAAAAACACTTTAAGGAACAATGTTAAGGAAACATAACATACAAGAGATATTTCGTATGTAGGTTATATATTTCAAAGTGTGAATGAATGGTGACTGATTTTCCCTTTGTGTATCAGCTGTGAACCTGGGTGGGCCATTGATGTCTCTGACCATTTAAGCAGAGATTATCCTATTCATTTCTACTGTGCTGGGATAGATATTTGCTATGCAGCTAAAGGGGGCTCGATTCTTGGAGTTGTTTACTCATTATTGTAACAACAAAAATGGTGAACATTATTGAGCACTTACAGTGTTCTAAGTACCCCTGCTAGATACTTCCCATGCACAATTACAACAAAACATCACAACAATCCTATGAAGAAAGTATATTATTCCCATTTTTAATTAATTTTTTAAATTTATATATGACAGCAGAATACATTACAATTCTCATTACACACATAGAACACAATTTTTCATATCTCTGGTTGTATACAAGTATATTCACACCAATTCATGTCTTCATACATGTACTTTGGATAATAATGTCCATCACATTCCACCATCATTTCTAACCCCCTGCCCAAAGAAACTAAGGCTGAAGAGCTTAAGATTTTGCCCAAGGTCCTGCCAGCCTGAGCTGGGGTTTGAATCTGGGTTCACCTTGACTCTGAGGCTTATGTTCTTTATCACAGTCTTGGTGGTGCCTGCAGGGGCCACTATTTGGGTGTCTTGAAATCTTCTGTGGAAGTGGAATTTGAAGGTCTTTGGTGGCCAGCCCAGATTTTATTGGCTCGTGATGTGTGTCTCCTCCACTTGCATATACTTGAGATTCTGCAGTGAATCACCTGTAGACAGATTACATCTTTTTAATTATGGTGCCTAATTTTTCACAAGCTGATTTCTTATAGGCATAAACAAACCACTTTCAAGCCCAGAGGTCTACCACTGGGATGGATAGAAACACTGAATTTTAACTCTGTTAGTATGCAATACACAGTCAACTCCTCTTTGTTGTGTGGGCTGCTTGTCTGGAGTTGTACAGAGAGAGTCCCCATGTGTACCTCTGCCCTTGAGGAGTCCATCATGGAAAAGAAAGTATGCCACTGATTGACCCACGGATGCCAAGGGATGCCATTGAAAAAAGTCCCAGGGTGTGGCCAGATGAAGCCAGAAAGCAAAGGAAGGGTACCTAGCACTTGATGTCACAGAATTAGACAAAACTGGCAAGTCCCTCAGGGAAAACCATGCAGCTGAACTTCTGCTTGTCCTGCCAGGAAGAGAAGGATGGAGAAGACCGCCTCTGGGTTTCCTGCTGTGGAGACTGACAGTTGCTACATGGCTCTTATCTTCTTCTTAGGTACCTAGTGCATAGTGTCAAAATGAACTCTGGGACTTCTCCACCTTGTAACACCTTTTAGTAGGGCCTAGTGAAGAATGTTCATAGCCCTGGCTTCCTATAACTGCTGCTTACTAACTATAGCCCTTGCGCAAGTCACTGAGCTGCACTGAGATTTTACTTAGTTCTTCTGCCAAATGGACTCATAATACCTACCTCTCACTGTGAAGAGGCAAGGAGACAGGCTCTATGAAGCCTCTAACACAGTATCTGATGAGTAGGAAAGGCTAAGAACATCAGTTTCTTTGTGTTGTGTCCCCTTGTGCTACTCAGCTTTCTGTTACTATGACAAAACACCTGAGGCAATCAACTTGTAAGATGGAAAGTTTTAGTTTGGCTCACAATTTCAGAGGTTTCAGTTCATGCTTCCTTGGCCCCATTTTCTCTGGGCCTGTGGTGAAATAGAACATCATGGCAGTGAGCTATGTGGTGGAACAACTTGCTTACCTCATGACAGCTGAGGAGAAGGAGGAGAAGGAGGGGGAGGGAGGGAAGGAGGGAGGGAAGGAGGGAGGGAGGGAGGGAGAGAGAGAGAGAAGAAAGGACAGGGTACAATATCCCTCTCAAGGGCATGAACCCAGTTGATCTAAA